AAAACCAGGCTTGCCATCAAATACAGTATATGTAAAGAGGTAATGAGGCAGATCTTTTACTAAACCATATTTACCGAGGTAGCAATCGTTTAATATTTGTGGTTGTATTAATGCTATTGTGGTCACAGCTGCAAATGAGAAGGACTACTTTTTTCTCAGGGTGGATTTGCAAGACTTCCAATGTGATCATGAAACATACAACAACATGATCAGGGGGTTAAAAAAGAATTAGTGCTGCAACTGCTGATTATTTTCACTTGATATAATAACCTACGGATTATTTTCTCAATTAAACGATTATTTTTGTCGATAAAACATCAAAATTGTGTTATAATTTCTTTCACAGTCAAAGGTTCTTGGTTCAGATAGCTTGTTTTATTTGGCCAACAGTCCAAAACCCAAATATATGCAGTTTACTATCACATAGGACAAAGAAAAGCATCATATCCTGGTATGAACAAATGTTTGGCTGTTTTACTAGAAGAATTATGAAAAACAATTCATCATAAATTATTTTAAAATAGTTGTTGTTTCTCTCTGCTGATGAAGAGTCAACTGATAGCTGCAGCTCTATAATAAATACACAGAAATGGTCTAGTTGATAGGGAAAGTGGTCATGAAATGGGTATGCTGTGTGAGAATGAAACAAAACACAAAGTCAGATAGACTCTGACCAGGCAACTATTGGAAACTCAATGTGCAGCAGGTCCAGATTTCTACATCCAATAGACTGGTCCTCTTCCTAAAACAAAGTCCTTTTTCCATGGGGGACGATGAATGATTGATATGGGATGATGGGTCCAGACCACAGAGACTGTTACCATGCCAATCCATCTGTGTGTCAGTCCCGAGGCAAAATCAGACCCGTATTGCTGATAGACCTCCTGCAGATGCATCCGGCCATGTTCAGTACATTGCGCACCAATAGAGGCTCTGGAACAGAACATGAAAGACGCCTGTGTGTGCCAGCAACAAATGTCCATGTGTAATCCCCCTCAGGAGACACCTGTCACACCCAAACACTGAAATGCTATCACAGATTCATGACGACCATTTGAAATACTGCATCTCTGGACCCAACTAGAGAATAATCGATGCTCTTAGCACAACTCATGAAAAAAAAACTATGAGCTTTGACATTTTATCCACATATCTGGTCACAAACATTTAAAACTGACAATGCAATCAATGTTATAAAGAGTTCGGTCTAGACCTGCTATTTGAAAAGTGTCCTGAGATAACTTCTGTTATGAATTGGCGCTATACAAATAAAATTAAATTGAAAAAAAAAAGATCATAGTTTCAAAAAACATATTTAAAAAGAGAAAAGAAAAGGGAAAAAAAGACTCAAATCAATATCAACGTCTGCTTCTGCTGCACAGCTATATATCAATAATGACAACATCCCATTTCTTTGTCATCCAGTGTAAACAGAAATACTGATTAGCCTTCATCCAGAAAAAGACCTGCGTGTGCATGTAGGACTTTCAATTTTAGGTGGAAATTGATTCACTTTCGTGTGGACAGTATGAGCATCAGGAGCACTTGCTTGGTGTTTTATGACTTACTGTACCTAGCAGCGCTTCCTCCATTTTTTTCCCCCCTAACCCAATTAGGATTGCTTGGGTATGCTGACAGTGGCCATGCTATTGGGACACTACATACCCAACTATAGAACCACACATTTGCACAGGTGGACAACAGGAAGACTAAGAATGTAGTATGAATGTGTGAATATCAGAGGATGCCCACCAAAATAAAAATGATACACACAATATTGTGGAGGTGAATTAAATAGATGTACTACTGCCAGTGTAAACTCCTCATGCCACAGCTTTTACCAAGTGCCTTATATACTGCAGTCTTTTATCGTACCTTGTTTAAGTAACCTTTATGTCTTCTTAATGACAGAAGTCTTGCCATTTGATCGGTTATGTCACCACAATTACAGCCAGGGGGTAAAAAAAAAATTCGAAAAAAAAAAAAAAAAAATCACATGAACCATCTTGTAGCCTGAGACATGGAGAAGGCTGAATGGATTTTCTTTGTAAAGCAAAGAGAGTTCAAAAGCAAAGGCCCATCTGCACATGGGTGCCTCCAGGTCTTTCAGGGGAGCAGATAGTTTGTGTTCTGTATCTATTTTTACTACACGCCAGAGGGGACGAGTCCCCTGACCCTGGAAAGAAACACAAATGTGCTTTTCATTCGCTATGCTCATAAAAATAGGAGTTGTTGTGAAGATGATGCGCAATCACAGCATCTGACTGCAGTGCTGACAAAATAGCACCAGTTTAATACAAAGATTATTTCTCTTTTAGAATATGTTGTTCTACGCTAGGGTAATAAAACATGTTGCTATCTTTCTGGCCAATGTCAAAGAGCAGGTCAATATCTACTGGAAGGACAAAAAGAACAAACATTCTCTTGTTTTCTTGTGTACTATTTTAATTTTTTATGATTTCACTTTAAAAAAAAAAAGAATTTAATGTCAAAAACATGCAGTCTGATGGCACACAAAGTAAAGTTGGTACTTATTCGATTGCTTCTGACAGTTCAGCTTAAAAACATGGAAGAGTAGAAGTGGAGGCCTGAATGCAATGGGAGCAAAATCTATTTGTCTGCTGTGACAAAGAAAGGAGGGGGCCCAATGAAAAATTAGCGTGAATAGCAAAGAGTCAACCGGTCACTGTTCCCATTACCCCCTCTGCTATATTGCCTGATTGAAAAATCGGCCACTGGGTTTCCAAGTAGGCTTCCCAAAAATGAGGCTGCCAGTTAGGAAATAAGATCTTAGGGGCCCTTTATAGCCGACATACTCAATGAGAGCACCAACTGAGCCAAGTGACATCTCCAACGGGAAGAATGTAACAGATGCTTGAATGTGACTCAAGTGGCGTGATGGTCCCACACCAGTTTCCTGTAAGCTACAGGGGCTTTGCAACGACTTGTGCAACGGAGGAGAAAAGAGGGATGAAGGGGGGGCAGGGGTCCCTGGCAACTTCCTCTGAATAGCAAATAGTTACAAAGATTAGCATTCCAATAGATCTCTCCATACCAACAGACCCCTCCCACAGCGCTAATCTAAAAACACAGAAACAGAGCTGAGAATGTTTAGAGCCTTGTCATGTGAACGCTGATGCGTTTCTCAGTGACGAGACAGCAGCAAAAATGACTATCAACATCTCATTTCGAGTCAGGGGCAAATATCTATCATATCTTTTTGAAATATGTCGTTTTAACATACTAGTTAAGTGGAGGGGAATTAAAGGAATAAAGCTCAGCGAGATCATCTCATCTCCTTCTCATGACCTTGTATCTCACATTGAGCTGCCTTAACTTTCTATCCTCCGCCTCAGGGGTTAATTACTGAGCCCACAGACTCAGCAGGACCAAATTACGGTTCCCCCCCATTATCGCAGCCTTGCTCACTTTTCCCACTTGCTCAATATACTACAGAGCACATGTGCAGATATTTCTTTTGTCTGTATGCCACTTCAGTGCATATGCCAGACAATTTGTAGGCAGATTTCAGACATCTTGGGCACATGGTTTCCCTGAGGAAACCTCTGAGTAGTGACAGTGTGCACAGAACAAGCGCATGATGCTTTGAATCCCTGTTTTATCCATTGCCCTTATTTTGGGGTCAAAGTTGGTGCTCTAAGCTTCTCCTAAGGACACAAAGGGCAAATTTATGAATAGTGCTGGTGGAGGATCAATACATTTGTTCTCCAACACCTCAGGGGAGCTCAGGAACCTTCAACCAGTCATTGATTCTTCCTGAGGGGTACCAAGGAGAAAGAAATAACAAAAATGTCCCTGTCTAAACTGATTCTAGTAATCAATACACATCATTGCCAGGAAGCAAACACTATACTGTCATTAAAAAGAAAATTAAAACAGGTGGTATTGCTTTTAAGGCTTTGAAGACAATTAACGAAATATCAATGGTTTGGGAGTAGAGTCTCTTTTTGCACACAGATATACAAAAAGGGCTCACTTGAGGAGGCCCACATTAAGCTATTTATAGAGCTCTTTGATACTGTAATTGGCACTCATGTCACTGGGCAGCTTCAAAAAAACATCTGATTCAAATCAGCACAATAGCAGCTTAGCTTAGCCCTCACATTAGATTATATGAGAGTCAGAACAACACGGGCTGCCACAACGTATCAACAAAAATGTCAGCAAGCAGAAGATGAAACAGAAGCAGAAGTTCACGTCTGGAATGGGACGTTTGTCGTTCCCCCTCTCTTCCCTCCACTGTCGACTCTTTATGATAAGTCTTCAAAACATGCTATTCTTTATATTATTCTTCACTGGGCTGGTTTTTTTTTTAAATTGCTGGTTAGGAGTAAACATAAATGAAGCATGAATTGTTGGAATTGGGTAGAAATTTAATTGCTGATAGCAACATTAAAAAATAACTACTGATGAATTTCTTGTTAGCTGAGAGTTCAAACACTGTCATAAAATCATGTTTGGTTTCGGATGAACTGAATTGATAAGCAATAGATTCAAATAAAATGAAAAGCTTTAAAGATTAGTCGATTAAAATATTAGTCAATCAACATAAAATAAATTGAGAACTTTTCATAACTGATATCTTTTTCTAGATAAAAATGACAAACCTCGCCAAGTTCCATCTTTTCATCTTTGAGGATTTACTGCTTTTCTTATGCGTTAGTAGTTTAAATTACTTTAAATTTTGAGGAAACTTTCACTATTTTCTGACATTTAATAGATCAAATGATTATTTGATTAAGCAATAAAATAATCCGATTACTTGATAACAAATGTTGTTCTTAGCTGCAGCCATGAAATGAATACTGCTCTTCCCTCCTTGGAAAAACACCTTCAAAGCGCCTTTGAGAAAAGCACAAAACCATTCCTTCAAATCCAGACAGTAACATCAAGAATGTGGTTGTACTGGGCAGCTGTTAATCTGACATCTTTATATCTCAGCCACATGTATGTCATAAAAAGAGGTAGAGGCAACTTACAGTTCATCTCGTTGCCGTTGTGACAGCACCATGGTGACGGGGCAGTGTGGGCGGGGCCGGGAGGGATCAGTTGGTAGAAGGTGAATCTTGTGCAGCTGCTTCGCTCTCCTCAGTCAGGAGATGAGCTGTGCTGATCCAAGCAACACGGGCGAGGATGAGCTGTGTACTCCAGTGGCGGGCAGTTGGTTTTGTCCAGACAAAAAGACTCAGACTGAGTGAAGGGGAATGCAGGAATCTGCCTCCCCCTAGCTGCCTGACTCCAGGGACAAGAGAAGTGGAGAGCCTGCAGACCAGTCACCACCCAAGTCTACACTGCATCTGGAGAAGAGAGAGGGAAAGTCAACATTAGGTATGCATGACAGATAACATGAAGAGTGGGTGGAGATGAAAATGTTTATAGGCCAGAGGAATACTGCATCAATGTCTGCACCAGTTTTACTCAGATAAAATGGCTGAAGGATCTGTCAACAACGGAAGATATAAAAGCACACGTACAGTTATTTATTAATAGCCATTTTCTACCTAAAAGAAGGTATGATTCCCACAACAGAGCTTTGACGGATATAAACTAATTCATCAGACAACTCACAAAAACCCCCTCCGTTCCATAAACCACTCCTTCATTTGCTTTTTAGCTCCACTCCTATCTACCTTCATAATACGTCTGTCATGTCGCCAGTCTGGTCTGAGAGCTCTGGTCTGCACTTGCAGCAAATTCCTTTCTCGGTGAACATACAAGAGCTGACCCACATTCTCCAAGCAACGTACTCCCAGGTTGCCAACAGAAAAGAAAAACAGGACACAGCAGAGCGGGCTCGAGTAACAGCAGTGCTCTTGTCAAATTCACCAACCCTATCGTCTCATTATGATAGCTCCTCAAGAGCTGGCTGATGACACCAACGGTCATAGTGATTTCATCGGGCCAACAAAATCATATATTAGTGTGAAATTAATTTCTGTGTGATGAAGTATGAGTATTTTACTCTGCACTGAAATGTTGAAAAGCACTCCACCAAAGAAGGTACCCACTAGAATACTAACTGTGAGCTACAATAAGCCTCTTAGTCTACTGGGAGCAGCCTCACTAAATCTCTGCCAGACCATTAAACAAAAGGTAAAAAACAAAGCCAATTTATCTCCTTCTAGAGACCTGCAACAAATGGACAAAAGTACGACAAGGCACAGATGTCCAGAACCATTTAGAGGAGACAATATGTGCTAGACATGAGGTTTGCTGCATGGCAAAGGAGCAGTGAAGGAAACAGTGATGCGTCTGGAGCAGGCATAAGGACTGGAAACTTCCCAGGAAGCTGCAGTGGAGGAAAATTCACACATTGCTCGTTTCAGCTGATGATGAATTAGACACTTTGTAGAAAAGCTGGTCAACAGAAAGCAGCCTAACATAGCATACAGCTAACCTCTGGCCCCTGATGTCACCACCTGACAGGAGTCCAAATGTCTGCTTACCTCTGACTGTGTGTGGATTACGGCACACAGGGGGTATCTGGTGGTTGCCCAACAACTCTGCCGTTGTTCAGGGTCACAGCAGTACAACAACACAATAAGGCGATGGCACTGAAGCTAAAAATGGCTCTTACTAAACTCCACATACAAAACATCCATTAAAAAGGCCTGTGCCATCCACATTAACCTGTACAACTGCTGAAGTGTGTGAAATGAGGTCATCTGCTACATATTGATACTTCACTATGTGCTGCTGTCATCGCGTGTCATTAATATGTTAGACACCCCACTCTGCAAATCTCATTTGTGGCTTCAGTATTGAGCTAAATGTTTGCACAATCACGTAATCAGGCTAATTGGCTCAGCACAAAATGTGGTCGTGTCTTTGTGGGAAGGAGGAATGGGCTACAGCCATGGTGCATCTATAAATCTGCCCATTGATAGTTAATAATGGCTGTGCGTCTTCCTCCCATTGATTCTCTACTCTTTGTGTAGCAGCCGGAACTGCAGAATAAAAAAAACCTTACAGTAATGGCTCTGACTGTTTTGAGAGATGGTTAATTTCCTGATGAGTTCTAGCAGGTTATCTGTTGTTAAAATGCCTTTTTGATGAATAATGGGAAACATACTGCTTTAAGAATACAAAATCGAAGCAACATGAAAAAACTAATGAACCACACCCACTGTATCACACATTTTGTCTTTATATCTAGTCAAGCATAGGGCTGGGTACTGAACTTCAATACTTTTATGGCACAGACCGAATTGCGTCGATTCTACTAGAGTATCAAAAAATGTCTTGTCATTCGGTACCAAATTAAAAAACAGCAAGCCTTTAAAGTGGCATGGCGTTTACAGATACCGGTAAAAGGAGAGAAACCGACCAACATCTCTTCTTTGGATTAAACTAGACGTATTGCTGCCATACTGTTTTGTTATTTAGATTCCTTTTGACAGTTCTTTAAAGTTTTTATATCGTCAGACATGAAGTTTTATTAAATAACTTCAGTTCGGTTATCCACTTCCTCCTTTTAAGTGAGTAATTATACTATAATGTAGAACGTATTTTGTTTTTGTTCAGGAACTGGTATCGATTTCAAAGTATTGGTACCTATATCTAAAAAACTTTTGAACCAGCCATAGTGAAGCATATTTAAAAAAGTAAACCAGTAAACATAATATTTCAGTAATAAACACTTAAACCAAGTCACAAAAACAGGAAAACCATATTAGAAAACAGAGTAATGTGTCTGCAAGTCTTTCAAAGAGGATGTTACAGAAAATCTGTTTGTTAGCAGTTTGACTGTAAACTGAGTTTTTGAGAGTTTGTAAACAAATAAGACATCGGGTCAAAATGTAACATATTGAACAGCTTAGCATTAATCCACTTGCCAAGTATGACAGACGAGCTATGTGTACAACATTTTTGATAATCAACACTTCCACGTGTGAACAAAGCAACACGCCCCTGTGGAAAGCAGCACAAGACGAGGAAAACAAAAACACCAGAGTCTAAAGTCGAGTCTAACTGCTGGTGTGAAATTGTGCCTCAGCTGCTCATCACAAAACATACCATCACCGCAATGCTGACAATGCTGACAGTTATCACTTCACTGTCACCTCTTATTCACAGTTTCCTGCCAGCGTCGTTATGTCATTGTCCTTTCTCAAAAGCAAACATCTCAAACAGCAGGAATCTGGAGCAACTTCATTTTCTGTTGGTGACTTCACCTTCATATAACTTGTGTCCTGGGAACATTACATTATCCTCCCTGACTGCCCTTTACAAACAAGATGGAGCACCATCAACCTGGTGAAATTAAAAAAAAAGCTGAATGCTAAAATAAGTTATAGCAAAGGATGATTCTACATATATTGCCAGACTGAACTGCATTTATCTATTTTTAAGTAGATACGAGGAGAGGACCATTTATTTAGGTAATTTTTTGTTGCCTTTAATTGATAGTGACGGCTGAAGAGAGAGGGGGGATGACACGCAGCAAAGGGCCACTGGTCAGACTTGGTACATGGGGTGGCAGCTCTACCAGGTGAGCTGTCAGTATTTATTGTAATGAAATGTTCAGTTTAAGATTTAGTAACTTAACTTTGGTTTCAACAGTGACATAAACACTACTACAATTTTGATTAGGATCATTCTGTGGCATAATATATACGTATCAGGAGACAGCTACAAACACAGTGATCTACATGCCAACTGTGCTGTATCAGCTGGATAAACATAGATAATTCATTATGTCAAGTAATGAAGTAAGTAATGTGATGCATCTCTGTCATTAGCCTGTGTAGAAGTCTGTTTATCATTAACGGTCCATATTAGATGATTGATGAAATATGGGAGAACCTGCAACAGAAACCTTCTCTAACCAATGGGACTGAAATGCTGAATATATTCAGTAAATCATCTCCACTTTCTGTGAATGGTTGTTCTTGGTAAAGCCCTCAGACAGAAATCATCCAAAGAGCTTTATTACTAACTGATGATGAAACTGAACATCTGGCTCAGCTTTCAATCTGCAGCCATTACGACCCACAAGGTGTCTACGTGAGTTATGTGGGTTGGTAACAATCAGCGAACGTTATTAAATTACACAGCTAGTGACATCTTCCTTCTGTGGTTAATAAAAGTAAGGGTCTATTAACACAACACAGCAGCAGGCGTAAGAATATATTCTGTAGGACACCAAAACTCAGCTTCACCAGCCCTTGACTGTTCATCCATACATTATTTATAGTCACCAGATGGAAAAACTACTCATCTCTAATACTAGATGTTGCCAATCAAATTGCCAGGCCATTATCCAAACAGTTGTGTTACCTGATGGAAGAGGCCTGATTAGTAGAGCAGAGCCCACATCCACTGAGGAAACACACACACACACACACACACACACACACACACACACACACACACACACACACACACACACACACACACACACACACGATCAGGACTAGTTAGCCTCCATCATACACGTTTGAATTAGTTGTACAATACAAGCAAAGTTCCACTTGGCAGCCATAAGATTCTTGTTGAACTCTGGCGGATCTGGATCTTTCAAGCATATGTATAAGCTTTATGTGAACAAGTTACTGGTTGAAATTATGATAGCTCTAAATTTAGACTGGGTGTATGCTGAGTCTGTCAGTTGCTGTTGCCGAACTGGTATGAAGTATGAAACGCGTTGAGATAAAAGCTTTGCATTTTCCAAGCTTCTTTGGCAACGGCCATAATTTGTTGCTAAAATTATATTCAACCGCCTCTAGCGCTTGTTCACAATAGTGAACAACACTCTCAGACATGTCCTCACAATTTACAAAAAGCAGTTGTCCAAACAGCGTGTGGGTCATTTGTAGGGTGACAGGCAGTTGCTGCTGGCAGCGGGTCAGTAATGATCAGTCAGCAAGCTGGTGGGCAGCCCGTCTGGAAGGTCAACCTCTGTGCTACAGTCAGCTCAGTGAAGGAGTGTAAGTGTCTATCTGCCCTTCAGCCTGTCACAATCACAACGACAGCCTCTCACACATTCATCATTGTCTGTTGACACAAAATAAAGAGGAGGCCCCCTTTGGCAAAACTGTACATTTATCTCCTTTCAGGCAACACTTCTGTCCTTACCTTTACAACAAGTGACATACGTGAGGAATGTCCTACAAGATCTGTATCTAGCTTTACTCTCCCGTTGTTGGACTGGCAACAAGTGCCAGCAAAGCATCACTTGTAATGGCCAAAGCTTGTACAATTGGTGTTGCTGTGTTTCCATTGCTGACAGTACTGAATAGAGCCCGGCTGTCAGGATGCACTTATTCAAATCAACTTTTGATAAAACTCATCACTGACTAAGAATGCTTTCAAGTAAAACCAGCTGACCGTATCCACTGGCTCCTGCAGTACAGCTAGAGAAATAATGTCTGTATTTTACATGAAAGAGCTGCTTATCTCATATTAGCTCACTTTCTTTAAGTAGTCAAACACAGAAAATGGGTCTAGCAACACATAATTTGTGCTAGTTTCATGTACTGAGCATTGTATTTTCAACTTTGAGCCACTGTAACATCATGGTCTGTCAGCAAATATGGCTTTTCTAACTTTGTCAAACAGTGCTACAGAACTTCCTTACATTACAAACTCAAGTTGTATAGCATTTCCATTTCTGAATGATGAAGTCTAAAGACAACACCAGGGTGTTCCTCTTTTTCCTCATCTGAGATTTTAAGCGTGCAACAGTGCTGCTTCAGTAGAATCAGTTAGGTTGCTAGCTTGTTTAAGGGATAACATTAGTGGTGTTTCTGAATCTAGCAGTAATGCGCTCACATAAAGGCCCCAAACATCTGCTAAGATTATAGCTGTCAATAACTACGAGCTGTAATGGGGGATCATATTCCTCCTCAAAATGGTTGCATTTAAGTCAATTCAAGTCATTCACAGACGACAACAGATTAATACTCTTACCTGAGAGGAGAGCACAGAGTCGGTTGTTATTTTTCAACACTGTTGTCAAAAATAAACAATTTCAACCAATATCCCATAATTCCACTTGATCGGCTGCAACGCGGTCCTTACAGGCGTGGCTGGGGGACGTAAATCAGCCAAGGATCCTGGCTTTAACCGAGCCTTTATATCCGATACCACGACAAGGTTGCTCAAAATTACGGCTGTCGGATTCAGTGCACAACCCTGGTGAGCCCAGCGATGATTTGCATTCGTCCCAGTGTAAGCCCTCGGTCCACAAATTCCCTTACACCCAATCACCCAATCACACATCCACTGATTACAAGAAAACATGCAACAACAAAAAGGAGAAAACAAGGCGGACACTTGGGAGTGCTGAAGAGACGCAATAAATACAAACTCACTCGCCTCCGATGTGCTCCACCCTGATTTTCTAACACTGTGCCAGCAACCCGCATGAAGCCCAGTGTCGTAGAGACGAGAGCTTCAGCTGAGCATGGCAACAGTATGAGACAGAGGATGCACACCCAACAGCAGGTCGAGATAGAAAGCTGCAACAAGGTTGACTGATGCTCAGCTGCAACGATATCTGCATGATATTACAATAAATATAAAAATATATATATATTACACAGCGCAGAGCAGATGACGAATATCCCTGCCTTTACGCCCCTTTCAAAAAATGCTAACACTGGTTACAGCGATGACGCCAAACAAAAACAGCCACACGGTGACAGAAATAAAATGTTAAATAAATCGTTAGACGCCACCGGTAACGTCGTGTGACCTACATTTGATTGTGTTGTCTATATTTTTTTTACAGCAGAGTCTGCACCAACCCTGATTCACACTGTATTAATTACAGGTTAATACTAATGCAACTGTAACGGCCATAACCTCTCACACACACACACACACACACTGACATGTTCTCTGGACTATGGCGGCTGACGGGGTTTGGTCGACCTGACGACGGTGCCAATCTCCCCTCTTCCTCCTCCTCCTCCGTGGCTCAACGTTATCTACCCCCTCCTCCTCCTCCTCCTCCTCCTCCGGTTATCGTTAGCGTACGTTAGCTAAAGTTAACGTTAGCCGAGTTAGCTTCCCGGCGATGCAGTCAGAAAGTTAGCTCGTGACGTAAAAACACACCAACGGGCCCATAACGTGCATTCGAGCTCGGTGAGCGACAAATAACTGAAAACGGTTAGCTGACGGTTGGCGGACGTTAACCGCAGAGCCGCGGTGGGTGTCTGTCGGGGGATAAACTCCGCTCACAAGGTACCTGCTGCTCCGGTCCAAGCGGCCTATCCGCCATTTTGAGACATAAAAAGGAGGTGCACAAATTTACAGCCACATCGTCATTTTCCCCAACCTAACGCCGGATTCCTTCGAGCCTGACCGGCTCCGCGGAACCCAAAAGTACTTGAACTCACCCTATTGTTTTTCTGCCCGGGAATATCCTCAGCCGTCTCCAACGGTAACACGACCCGACAGGGCGTGAAATTTCCGCTCCAAACTATGATCTTGTGATGTTGGAGGTAAACTGTGCCCGTCTTGTCGCTCCGCCGATGCCTGCTGGTTTTTTTTCGAAGCCTACCGCATTCGCCTTCAGCCGGGGACGCGCACACGAAGCTCGCGTTCACGGCCTGACGAGAGCGCGCACGCCCTTGACAGCAGGAGGAAAAAAAAAAACTGGTTGTTTTATACGTTTTTTTTTTTTTTTTTTACTATTAACTCTTACATTGCTTCTCATTATCCGTACCTTTTTGAACTGCACAATACGACTCATTTAAATGCGGTATGAGACTTGGTATTAGATTTTAATGACTTATTAATTTTGTACATAGATAAAACATAAAAATCTTGGATTTTATGGAGAATATAGGCGTTACACTCTGATAAATGCAGTGAAAGTAATGCAGGACTGTTTTCTACGTTTTTCTGACAGCTATAGCTACTTTTAAAATTTATACTTTGCATATTAAACATGTGATCAGCTTATAAAATATGACAATGGATTAAACTACCAAACAGTTTATAGTTAATAGAGTAGAAAAAACCTCCCATCTCATGCAGCAAAATTAATGAAAGGCTGCTTATACAGTAAGGCATCAATAAAAATATAATATATAACACACTGACAAGGCCTTCTGTTGCAAATACTTTGTATTTCTCCTTAAGTGGTTTCACTACTGTTAAAATATCTCAATGCTTCTTCAGCCACTGGCTACTTGTATGAGTTATCAAAACGCCAAACAAAAGTTTTACTAGTTTAATTTTATTCATTTTAATATTTAAAAAAAAGCATACTCAGACCAAAATATAATTGGATTGTTATTTTTGCAAATATTTTGCAGCACACAAATACCACACATCATCAAGGGAAGCAGACTAAAACACTTTGGCCTAAGCCTTTGTGCAGAAGAAATTTCATCAGCTGAGAAAACACAAAACCCTCAGACAATCATTTCGGGCAACACAGATACAATAAATGCAATATGACTAGTGAGCAGCAAAGTGCATAATGTTTTGGGTTAGATATTAGACCTTTTTTCCCCCCACAAAGACCTTTAATAGTTATTTTGCACAGGATCAATACTTTTGAAAATAAAATGAATACTGAATCTTTATTATCTGTATTTATATGTAATTTCCGGTAATATTCATATTCCACACTTGCTCTGCATTTCAGACATTCAAACTGCAAATGGAATAAATTCAAATTATATGTGAAAGAATACACTTTGCTCTTAGTTTTGTATTGTTACACCATGTCTTCTCTCCCCCCCTCCCCCCTCTTTCTGATGCAAACCTTTAATAACATGAAATAACATATTACGCACTTTAACAGCTAAACTATTCAAAACAGAAATGTTACACTGAACTCTAGAGTGAACACTGGAGTGAGATTAGTGCCTCCAACTAAACAGAAGCACCGTGTTAGAAGAGCAACAGAGTATGCATGCAGACAAATAGTTTGATCATTCTCATCGACTTTATTCTAGATCATAAACTATTAAAATACCCGAACAATAGATTTACTGCTGCTGGGATTTCAACAGGTTCAGAACATCAACAGGTAACTGTTAGCAGTCTTTGTAATTTTGGGTCACATGACTAATATTCTACTTTTTCAAAAATGCTTAAACAAAAACAAACAAACATTTTCCTCATTTTAATTAGTCTAAGCCAACTGAAGCTTATGTTAATGTGTGTGCACTTGAGCTGCAACAGCTCCTGTCATTTAAGTCACTGTATGTCCTTCATAATGAGACAAATGTTAGTGTGCCACCTTATGGACACTATTGGTATTACTATGGAGCAAGACTTCTGGAAGCAAAGGGAATAAAGAAACTGAAAAAAAAAAAAAAAAAAAAAAAAATATATATATATATATATATATATATATATATATATATATATAAAAAAAAATATATAAAAAAATATATATATATATATATATATATATATATATATATATATATATATATATATATATATATATATATATATATATATATATATATATATATATATATATATATATATATATGATACAAGAAACCCATAAAACAAAACCAAGAGGCATATTTCACCTTTATAAATTGTAAAGTTGTTACCGGTTGTCACCCTGGTTCCATTTAGAAACATAAATAAGAGGCACAATTCACACCACGCTCTGCTATTGATGTTATGACATCATGTTTTAGGAGCACAATCAGGAAGATCACTGCAATAACCGAGTCACTCAGTCGGAAGAGTTCGCCTTTTGTTTTGTTATATGGCTCCCTTATTTTCAGGTCGTTCAGCCAGTACAGTAAGTAGTCCATCTTGCACGTCTTGTGCCAATTAAAAACAGCATATTTGAAAAACAATCAGTTCCAGCACCATCTCTCTATTGCTTTAATCACAAACAGTTAGACACGGCAACAATTAAGTAACAAATTGCCATGGGAGGGATACATTGCATGTATACAAGCGCAAACAAACCTTTCATCAGTCTTTTTTTTTTTGGTACATAACATTGAGGCAGCCCTTCTTTTGTCCACTTTTGGTTGTGCTGTGAACATGATCACACATCCAAAAACAGCACGAGAAAGTGCGCTAAACACTGCTCAATGAACAGACACTCCTGGCTGGTTTTTGTCTCCGTTACATATGAAAAGATGACCCGATAATGGAAAAAGAAAATAAAAAGGAAACACACACCCAGCAACAATAAATCAGTCACTACTGCCAATGTTGAGCACCTGTCCAATAGTGAGAAAAGGTTCATTTCAGTACCAGTTCATACATTAACAGATTTACAACATTGGTGGCCATGAATGTTTCAAGAAAAGAGGCATCAGCCATCCAACAGGTTTACTATGAGTAGAAAAATAAAACATTTGGAAAGCCAATGTTCGCTTAGCCTCTAATCAAACTATGCAGCAGCAAAAGCAGCAACAGCCCTGGCCAATAGATTTTCTGTTGGACTACACACAAAGACACACACATCGTCACACACATACAAACATACATGCACATAATCTTTCAATGTGTAAAAATAGAAGATTGAACACAGCTAGTATATAGATAGATAAATCTACTGCTTATGGTGGACGTTTCAAATCTGCGTTTTTCCATTAACGTCAATCAAGTACCTGTCTAAATCTGATAGAGATTTATACATCTTTTTCCACTTCTATACATTTTCTATAAAAAAGACATGGCTTAAATTAATGGATGATCAACAGGCCTAAAATACCTTCTTAATTCTCCTGTGCACTTTTACAAAATCCATTTTATTTACTAAAAAAAAAAAAGTAAAAAAAAAAAAGTAAAGAAAAGAAATTCCAGCAAAAGAAATCAAACCGGCTGAAAGCTCACTAATGTGTCACTGTATTGTTTGCTTGCTTTGATAAACAGGAACCATAGGACACAGCAGGCACCCACCTGGGATGTCGTACGTACAAATGATAGAACGATTACATTAATTAACCTTCGGGGACGTGTAAGAGTGATGGGTGGCTGCTGCAAAGAGGCTCAAAGAAGCCACTGAGAAGGGAATTTACATTCTGAAGCCCCACTTGAAAAATCTCAAATTTAGTGACTGTATTCTGGTCTTAGTGCACAGTAGAAAGTACCCCTGAGTTCTAGGACAGGGTAGGTGCTTTATCATTTAGAGCACCATTTAAGGGGGGGGGGAGGCGGGGCGGCTACATGCCCGAGGGTCTTCGAGGCTCTTTAGGGAATGGCGGGGCAAAAAAAAAAAAAAAATGGTCCTGGGCTAACAGTGCTGGGGGACGTTTGAGCTGAGAAGAAGCATTATTGGGGGAATATGGTACAGTGGATAAGGCTCTGGTATACAATGTCATGGTCTTCCTTGGTCTCCCCCTCCCCCGGCTGCAACCGCGCTTTCATATGCAATCATATTTCTAAGCAGCTACTTCGTTCATCGCCAGGTACTTGGGCCCGGGATATTTCAGATTGCACGTTACATTGATTCTATGTTGTTTGTACTCTCTCCTCTCTCTCTTTTCCTACCTTGTAGGAAATTCCCGCTCTGTATTCCTTTGTCCTACAGTTCATACAGTTTGCTCTCTGGACTGCCCTCACCCATCCCTCCCCCTGTTTATTTCAATGCTGATTGCTCTGTTCTCAGGTCCACAGGCTCAGTGACATGGCTGTTACGTCACGGCCTCTCCCCCCTCCCACCCCGAATAGCAGAAAGTAGCTGTGTTGAGGACTTTTAGATTTATTAATCAATGGGAATTTTGTCCTCTAGTTCAAGTGGGCTGTCCTCAGTGGGCTCCTCATTCTTTCCCAGCTCCTGAAGCAGCTGCCGCCTATGCACCTCTGCCTTCAGGTTCTCCAGATCCTTTTGGCTGTAAGAAAAATACCACAAAAAAAAAAAAAAAAAAAATCAATACCTGACATCTCTGGTATAGCTTGAGCATTTGAAATGTTTCCTCTTTTAGTTCTCCTGTCACTTAGAGATGTTGTTGTCACTCATGTCAAGTCTGTTAAAAAGTAGAAATTACTACTTTAAGTCCTCATAAAACCTGTGCCCACTCCTGGTCCTGAAAAGTCCCAGCACTGCATCTTTCCCTGCTCCTTCCACACATTATTACTTGGATCAGGTGTTTAGTCAGTCGAGCTCTTATCAGGTGTAAGCAGAGCAGGGACAGATTAAAATATGCAGTGCTGGAGCTCTCCAGGGCCAGTAAGAGGCACCACTGCCTGGCTATCATGTCACCAGCTTTAAAGAAAGAGTGTACCCCTAAACCAGACGTGTTCACACATCTGTCAGCACAAATAGTCTGAACCTTTCCAGCCATACGGATACATAAAGTGTAAACTGGCTCTTGGCCTTATGTCTTCCATTTGTGGTATCAAACGCATACTCCCAAACTAGTCAAGTAATCATAAAACTGCTGTATTTTACAATACACATTTATATATCTCTAAAGATCTAGAGAGATTAAATACACATCCCCTCCTACTGGTTTACTAAGCTGTTATTCTTCCTGTCAATGCTGTGGTTGCACGTACAGTTAGACTGTATGGCACAATTTAGGTGAAGTAAATACTGCAGATAATATACTAAATTGTGGATAATTGTTTGGAAAAAAAAAAAAAAAAAGAAGGTCGAGACAGCACTACAGGGGCCAAGATGTTGTGTATTTGGTGATACTAAAACATACAGTAGAGTAGAGTTGTCGTTAAGAGCTAAACTTTTCTGTAAAGCCTTTGTCAGAGATAGCTTGTTGAAGTTATATAATAAAGTCCAATATGATACAGTTGCAGTAAGTCCCCATCTTTGTGTATAAAGTCACATTTCTGTTGTCTTAAATAATAAATAATAAAATAATGAGTCCCTGCAGGTGTTCAGGGCATCGTGTCTGTCACTTTACCTGAGGGGTATAAAGATGATACCGTTGATGATGTTGAGCTGTTCCAGCACACTGGCCATGCTGGGAGCGGTGAACTGTAAAACAGGAGGAAATAAAAGCATAGCATCACTGCTTAAATTGCGGCAATAAAACAGATGGAAGCGCATGAAACACGTCTCGACTCAGTCACCTTGAGGGGCATGATACTGGCGTTGGAGCCGTTCTTGTAGATCTCATTCATGGTTCTCTGCAGAGCTACAGCCTGTTGGGTGAGATACTTCAGGTACTCTGAGCTCTCCTTAGTTTTCTCATGTGCCTCACCCATCTGAGAGGAGAAAACAAATATTTAAAAAGATATCATAACTTCATCACAACTGATGAAGAGAAGTGCGTCAGTCCTGCAGGACCCACCTGGTTCTTGTAGATGGTGTAACCCTCCTTCTCGTGCTGTAGTGCGGAGCGGAACTCAGCCTTGCTCTCATAAACCCTCGCAACCAAATGATGGCTGGAAAAAACAAAAACAAGGCACACATAATGTAAATCATCGTGTCACAGACTATATGCATATGGATGATGAATCTCTCCCCACCTGAGGGCCACTTTGAGGGACCGGGGTCCATGGTACTTGGTGTTGATGGTCAAGGCGTTCTCCAGGAATCTGAGCGATAAATCATACTCCATCACTCCGTGCAGCACCAGCCCGATGTTACTCTGTGGAAGGAGAGCCAAGAACAAGGACAGCAGTCATTAATTAGGTTGGATTTTTACTAAAAGACTTAAATCAGTATCGATGCCCAATTAAAGACTGCACTCACGTCTAGCAGCGCCATCTCTGGGTGGTCCTCCCCGCTAACCATCAACATGAGATAACGGGCGCGATAAAGAAGCTTCAGGGCGGTGGACAGCTGCCCATTGGCAAAGCAGTACAGAGCCAAGTGCATCTGAGAAATGAAGGGAAGAAACATAAAAAAGGTTAGAGGGACATTAAACATCATTTGCATGAGCTAAATGTTTCCTATATTTGGTGCAATAACTTACATATTCTTGAATTGTATTGGGGTGCTCGATGCCAAGGACTCTTTCACTCATCAGAACAGCCTTTTGCTGGTTGCTAAGAGCCTGCGGGTAAATACACAAATGTTATTCGGTGACATGAAGTCAAATAGGACGCTTATGTAGAAGTTGCTGACAAAAGTAAGAGTTGCCATATTCCCTCCTACCTCAGCGTGGTCTCCCATGATGTAATTAAGGCGTGCCAGCAGACGCAGGCAGGCACAGATCTCTACGTGCATGGCTCCATACACATTGTTGAAGAGGTTAAGAGCCTCATTGATCAGCTCACAGCCCTCCTTCAGGAACCCTGGAAATGAAAGGAAGGGTAGAGACATACATTTGGTCAAACCAGCTGAACTCGCCAGCTTGCATCATGGATACAGACTTGCGTTTAGGTCCACAAATGTTTATGCATAACTCGTCAACCTGTCTCACCTTGCTGCACTTTGGCCTGTCCACTCTGGAAGAAGTGGAAGGCATCTGAGGCTTTGGGGTTCACATGCTTCACAACAGGGAAAATGTTCAGGATGTCCTCCTCGGTGAAGGCTGGCTTGTGGCGGCTGTCGAAGTTATACTCCTTTATCAGGATCTAAAAAAGGCAAATGAAAAAGTAGAATAAACATCATGAAGGCCATCTGGTAAAGAGGTGTCGGGAAGTCGCTATAGACTAAATGAACATTACCTGGATGCCAGTTTTGATCGAAATTTCTCTAAGCAGAGTGATTTTCTGGAGGCCGTATTTCTCCACCACCTGGTCCACACTATCACTGCGCAGGAAAACATTTCAAGAGAGGATATTTGTAACCAATAAAATGGAAAAGTGTAAAAAGACATCTGCTTAATATTAACAGAGGGGGTCCTCACCACTGTACTGTGAAGTGATAATAGCTCTGGGCCTCAGAGGCAATGTTCTTCCACAACTCGCTGGGCGTCAAGCTGGCCCACGCCGTGTTGTCACCGCCGCCGGGGACCCTGTTGCGACGCTTGCGGCTTTTGCGGCGTGACACCAGCTCGTCGGGAGGCAGGTGGGCGACAGCATCGGGGAAGGAGCTCAGGAAGCAGTTTAGGAAATGGCTTACAGCAGCAGAGAGGGCAGACAACTCCACGCCCTACATGACGAGGATACAATTAGGTAATATTGATTAAAATAGACGTAGATTTGTCTTGTGAAGAGGTTAGATGATGTTTGTATATCGTTACCAACCTGGAGGTATGTCTTGAAGATATGTTTTGCACATCTGGTGATTAGCTCACTGATTCCTATTCTCTAAAAGGTATTTAAAAAAAAGAAATATTAGGATGACAAAAGGGCATTAAAGAATGAGATAGTGACGGTTGAATTCAGGGTTTCAGACTCACATAGAAGTGCTCCAGCTGGGTTTTAGCAGGGGTCTTGTCCACAAACTCCAGAACAGAGCCCAAATAGCGAATGTTGATGCCTCTCTGGCGCAAAGCCTCAGTCAGTGTGGCTCCATCCATGGGCAGCGCGCTGTGGTCCAAACAGTCTTTAACCTGGTCAAAAACACACACATTCATGGGTCACACATACACGACCAGAAAATTCAACCCTTATTTGATCCGGATCTGTAGGAGTGTCTGTACCACTGACCAGTGACGGGACCTGACAGGACACCATGAAGGCTGCAGCATCTTTGAGAAGCTGCTTCTGCTTCTGGATGTCATCTGCGCTGTCGTCTGGGAAACGTACTCCTGGGTTTGACAACACACAGAGGCTGTCATTTCTGTGCTAATAGTCTCCTATGAACACGTGTCACTCCCTCTCTCTTATCACTCTGAAGATAATTTGGTACCAAATGTGCTTAAAATAACCTGCCAGCAAGAAGGAAATTAGACACTGATGAATCTCAGGAAGTGAAAATTGATGAAATACTACAGTTATCTTGGCTGCTCTTCAACTAAAAGCATAATACTTTAATTATTTAAATGTATCTTAGGTTATACCCTGCAGTTTCATAATGTATTACAGTTACATTGTATAAATCCTTTTTTATTTTAATATTTTACATATTCCAAAGACTTCAATCACTCATCAATCTACAAAACCTGTAATGAAAGTTGTGGTCTAAGATGTGCTACAGCTTTGGGTTTTAGGTTTCATGGCTGAGAAGAATAACAATCTAAATATTATGTGATATTTATATCAATATACTTGATTGCCTCATTTTTATGGCTTCATAGCTCATTTTAATATCAGTAAAACAGTTTGTATATACTGTATACTTTCATTGCTCACACACTGTAAAGCTACAGCTTTTTAGTCCATATATAATTCCTCATCATGCTTACCTGGGGAGAAGATGTCGGGGTTGAACCGAATGTCGAAAGACGTGTTGCTGATGGAGCCTACTGCCTTGCAGGCATTGAGGACTACCTCGCGGCTTTTGGGATCTGTTTGTGATTAGGATCACATGCAAGGAAAAGATGTTAAAAGTAATGGCAAAATATGACACACCCGTCAAAACATCTGTAAAAGGACAGTTAAAACCATGTCCACATTAAGCTAGTGTTTTATTCTGCACCCAATAATTGAGTTTTTTTGTCTTTATGGGGAAAACAGAGCTGCTCAAGTGCAGCAGGCTGATGTGACTCAATGTAATGAAGCCAATTTTCTGTCACCTCCAGCTCTCTGTATCATTGTATTTATTTAACAGGGACAGCGAGCATTTATGAACATGTGAATGTGCCAGAGTTAATGAGCAAATACAAGTGATCACACAATACGGGTAGTATCGTTGATCTTGTAGTTCGGTTAATTTTTGCAGACAACTTTGATCGAAAACAGTGATTTGATGAGCTTACTGTAGACATGGCCTTAGTCGAGTACCCACCACCATTTCAAACACTAAAGATTAAGTCACTCTGTTTGACAAGCAGATTACGGTTTGATTTAGGGGTTAAATTGGGCATCACACAAATCATTGAACATGAGATTATTAGTGTTTCAAAATGCATTTGGATTAATGGACACAGATCCATACTGATTATTTAGTTTATTGGGTCAAATCCCACAGCAAAAGGCACCACAGGCTGGGACAAAAAGAGACGGGTTGATTGGGGGCCAACACTCTTCCCCGCTGCAGGCTGAGGACTGAGCAGGGACAGCTAGCCTGGTGGAAAGAAGCCACTACAACCCAGTACTTGATACTTTAATGCTCTACCTGATACTCTACTGCTCTAATGCTACGGACACACACAAACACACAACGGTTTAATAGTACTTCTCTAATAAACGCTACTTTTTCTACGCAACTATCCACCAGCATAGCTCTCCCTGCGTCGTCCAGGCCTTATGTTTCAGGGTGTTTTTGGACATACCAATACATGATCCATCTTCGGCAACTAAGGTCTCCGCCAGCTCTTTGGCCTGAGCTAATCCCGGAATACTTTCCTCAAGCTCCTTACCCTCCAGTGGGCTCTTGCATTCCCCATTCTGAGTGGCTGCAAGGTCTAGAGGCCCGTTTGTGGCGGGCTTTGAGGAGGTTTCTTCACCGTCAGTCGCTGCCTGTGAAGCAGCAGACGTGCTGTTGTCTGTCTGGCTTGTGCTGTCCGTGGAGACCTCTGTTGCACTCGGGGAATCTGATGCTTCAGTGGTCTGTGTCTGGGTTGTGTCAGCATTGCTTTCTGAGATCGTTTCAGAGGTTTCTGTGATGGCAGGTGTATCAGTCTTAGTGTCCTTGTTTGCTTTCTGTTGCATGAGCTGTAACGCTGCCATCTTCATGAAGAGAAGATATCTGTGAGGAAGGGAGGGACAGAATCAACAGTTGAAGACATGTAGAAAATACTCCCAGTGATGGAAATGTGACACACCAGCGCAGACCCCTACCTGTGCTCAACAAAGGCCTCGATGAGCTCTTGGCGTAGACAAGCCAGGCGGTGGCGGTGCTGGCGGGGGAAGCCTTGGCGCTGACTCTCTGGAGGCAGCTCCTCTCCATCCACAGGCAGGAAGTTGAGGTCAGGAGGGAAGGTACGAAGAAGGTCCAGAATGTAGTGTCGACCATCATTTCCGATGATGCCCTTACACTCAACAGAGGAGCACAGCTCCACTGTCTCGTTCTTCTCGTTCAGTACGCTGTGCCTCTGGACCTACAATTTAAAAAACACACAGTACAGTGATCACACATCATCTCTGTGGTGGTGATTGACAGTCTCATTAACCAGGTAATCAGAAAAACAGGTTTTAAAAGAACGAGCCTGCCCATATTCTATGTTTTTATAAAAGTGTCAACAAACAAAAGACCAACACCAACACTGCAATTTAGTTAAACAGCTGGGCACTGTAGTTTATGGCTAACTTTTCTTAAACAGGAGTAAATAATGCATTTGTTGGAGACCATTTTCAGCTGTGGATTAATACACATTTGGTAGTTCTCTAGTGAGAATTTACAGCAGCATGATACATATGTGGGATTCACTCAACACAGTATAGTAGTAGTAGTAGTAGTAGTAGTATATTCTGTCACCCAGAGTAACTGTGTGACTCATTGATGTGTTTAATGTTTATCGATCTAAATGGAGGTCACAGAGGAATTAGTTGTATCAGGCTGTAAGTTTTGGTCTTTTCATGAGATTTACCATTTAGTTTTATAAAATAATTATTTAACACAAAAAAGGTATGTACTGTGAAAAAACAGAGGCATAGACGTGTCCCTGACCTTAAGTGGTCTGCTGGTTTTCTCCAGCAGCTCCAGGTATTTGCTGTGAGACACGACCGTCTTTCCAAAGTCAATGGAGCCGTAGATGACGCTCTGCTCCTGCTCACGCTCCAGGATACCGGGGATGATGGACTGGGCGGTGACACGGTAGCCTCTGTAGTCCACCACCACTGTCCCCAGAGTGTACAGACCCTCCACATCCACTGCCCCGTAAGCCCGTACCCCGTTCAAGTCATTGGTGGGTGCAGCGTGGGCGGCAGCATCTCCACCCAGCTCACGATAGTGGTCCCGCACGTCGAAGCCCAGGCTGAAGAAGATGTTGTTCCAGATGAACATCTGCATGCGCGTTTCCTCGCCGGGGTTGATGGCCATTACGTTGCCGTCGATGACTGCCATGGCGCCTCGAGTGGCAGCTGCTGCGAAGTCACTGTGGACCTGCAGGAGGACAAAAAGGAGGAACTGATTAAAAGAAGGAGAAGTTGTTACACATAAAAAAAAAAATTAATACAAATTTAAACAACACTGGCATCACATTTCCTGTTAGATAAGGGAGTTGGCATTTTGGGTGATCTGGTATCATCTGGTCCCCGCTGATTATTAAGATCTAGTAATTTAAAGTTGCTATAATGTGAAGTACATTACACAACGGGACACAAAGACCAGGAGGCAGTACCTTGAATATGGCCCGCTCCCTCAGCAGACGTTCAGGCAGGTTCTTCCGGGGCAGCTCTCTGGTGGTTTGCAGCTCCTCGTTCCAATCTCTGGTCTGAAGATAAAAGAAAAACCATTAAAAATGGGGGGGGGAAAAACACATTATTGATCTGCCTGATGTGCTGTTGTGTTCAGCTCTGCCCACCTGTCCAGGTATGTGCTCCTCATAACCCAGGCGGGAGGTGTAGGCGTCCTCAGCTCTAACACAGTCCATGGCATGGTCTACCTGTGGAGCTGTCCAGCTGTACACCTGGAAAGGAGTGGCTATCCTCTCAAACGGGTGTCTCTGGACCCTGCAACAAAAGACAAAAAAACCCCAAAAAACAGGCATCACTTGTGTGGTCTCTTTTCGTACAGGTCTGATGATAAATGAGTAGATCCACAGAGTCCTGACCTGTAGGGTCCTGTAATTATTCTGTCTTGTTTAGTTTGTTATCTTATTGTGATTTAAGACTTTGACCTCCTGCATACTGGCGAGATCTTGACTGTAAAAGACAATGTGTTCTCACCTGGTTATATAAAGTTAATGAATGAACTTTCACTTCAAAAGAGAAATTAGGAAGTAGTAACAAGAGGAGAAACGTCTGCACAGTACAGAAGGAGTAAAGAACACACAGGTATTAGAAATGTTTGTGTGTCTAACCACTGAGGATGAGCATTGACTTTGTTGCTCAAACACATTAAAGTCCCTTAGTATGAAGGGTATTGACCACTGAGAGGAAACTAAAAAGGCAAAGAGATGTTTTTTACCTTTTCTTTTGCAGGGCAGTGAAGTTCTTCTTGAAGGCAGGGCTGATCTGGCTCAGCAGCTCCACCAGTGAATGGCTCAGGAAGCTGGGGTTGGCTGGCTTAGGGTTGAAGGTATAGGTAGTAGATCTGGAATACACACAGACATTACTATTATTATGGATCTTTTGTAACAAATACACATGTCACAAAAAATGTGACAGAAGTTGATTGCCACAGCAAGTCCACTAACTGGAGAGAAAACCTTAATGACTAATAAAGTGTGGATAGGAAGCAGTTTCCCTGTAGGTTTCCAATAGATGTCCAAAGAGTGTGAGCAAGTTGTTAGAAACAGAAAGAGACTTCCTAATGTAATCCAATTAGACCTCATTAATGTAACTGTTAAGTCTTTGCTGACATCCAAAATCAATCTAAAATTAGGATCCTGAAACTATTAATACAACACTGCTTGTGCTTCTATATTTATTACTGTTTCAGCATCCTCCATTTAAAAGAGAGGCAAACTTTGCACTGGGCAATATGACCACAAATTTGTATCACAATATTTTTGAAGATTCTGGGAATTTCAAAGTATATTACGATCTTGAATGGTAAACACTGCAACTCTGTATAAGTGCCAAATACTTTGTGTATAAGATATACATCAAGACATTATGAAGCTTAATGGTAGAGTGTTGAAAACATGAAACATAAAACATGTAGCGAGATACGAGACTGAGATGTTCACTGACTGGTTGAGGTAGAAGCCGCGTGTAGAGGCAGTGATGCTGACATGGCGCTCCTCCACAGTCACCATGTACAGGTACATGAGGTCGCCGTGCATCTTCCTGTTTCCAGGAGGAGGGTTCCAGCCGCTCATGGTCAGGACTTTCAGGCACTGCATAGGCTGTTGGGGGTTTTGAAACAATTAGCCACAAGAAAGAATTTTTTTTTAAAGATACAATTTCCCAAATCAGTCCACATGAAGGGACCAGCAAAGCTTCTTACCTTCCAGTCCTTGTTCTGTGGCTGGAGGGGCACCAGAGGGCGCTCTTTGCTGCCGGGCAGGATGTGCTCTGGGGGGGTGCAGTCAATCTGCTCCAGCTCGTTGCCCTTTTTCTTTCGCTTACCACTATCTGCAGGCACATTAAAACAAAAACAAAAAAACAAGCAAGGTCAAAGTCTGCAGTCCACAAGCATGTCGCTACATTCACGCATAAACACTGCACATTAAAACACACACACACACGGTTGAACATGGCTCTCACACAGCCATCATACCTCCGAGGTCTCCATCAGTGAAGATGCTGAGGAAGGAGAGGGAGTTGCAGTCCACTCCGTTGTAGGCGTCTGAGGGGTCCAGACTTTTCAGCAGGTCTCTGATGTGACGCACGTGGATGCGGGCCTCGCGCACTGTGTAGGGCTCTGGAGAAAAGAAACCCAAAGGATATAAATAGCAGGCAGTGAGTAGTTGGACAAGTTACAGATCAGGAGAATGCACACTTGAATCCAGTTTAGTCTTTGGTAGCAGCTACATGCCAGGAAAAACAGAGGAAGTCATAGTGCCAGGCTGTAGATTGAGGATAAATAAAAAATAAATCAAGCAGCTCCTCAAAACCAAACTCTATAGACCTTTTTATAGATCTTTTGTTTGTTAACTTATCTTTTTGTCTTTTCATTTATTCTTTTCATCGTTTTATTCTTCCATATGTTAGTATTTATACGTTCCCTATGTATGTATATGATGTTTGTGTATGTCCACATATATGTATATTTACACATATAAGTGTGTAGGCATGTGTGTTATATATCTCTTCGTTTGTGAAGCACTTTGTGTGTTTTAAAAAGTTCTACATAAATAAAGCTTTACTTACATTTATTGTGGCTGATGTTGAGAAATGATCAGGTTTGTCAGGTTGCTCCTGCCAAATTCTATCTGACTTAATCATCTTCATTATTGGTATATTTGTTTTCACACTACCTTGTTAGTCAGTGATATTTTCATTGCATACCAACAAGGAAGAGGTGAAATGCAACACTAGATGCATTGTCACCTTTGCTGTAGTTTCAATGAGTAGAAGGTTACAGTCTGCGGTCCACGTTTTGACATTTTATGACTGTGATCATTGTTTCTTACACTAAGGCAAAAGTGCTCCAAACCCCAGGTTAAAACAATGCCAGTAACACGATAATGGCTTGACAACAACATATTGCTCTTATTAAGATAAACCTGAGTGTGAACAAAAGCCTCAGGGTCTAACCTTCCACCACTTTGAGGAGCGAGCCCTCCTGCAAGCCCTCGATGGACTTGAGCTCAGCGAAGTTGTCCAGGACGTTTCCATCCAGCTGCAGGGAGAAGCAGGTGCGGTGGCAGGTGTCCTCGCGGTCCATCAATACCTGGTGGATCTCCTGTACCATTTCCTGGGGAGATACCTGATGTAGACGGGAGGGGAGGGAGATCAAATGATGTAGATAAGTACAGCTTGAGATATATTTGCTCCTGCTTTGGTCCGGCTGAGGGCAAACATTGTTTTTACGCATTATGAGGAAGGAACAAAGTGTCGTGACAATTACCAGGTAAATGGCAGAAATACACAGTTCAGTCCAGGTCTTTCACGCGGTGCCATCGTCTGTCTTAACACCTGTCCTAATGAACTGCTAGTGAAGAGCCAATGCTTACCTGCAGGTCAAATGGCTCTGTTCCAGGTGCCTGGATCTTAACGGTGAAGCCCGTGTCCTGGATCACTATCACTTCCTGTTCGTTAGACTCCTCTCCTCCGTCTGCCTCACCGTTTCCATCCTGCTTTGATTCTGCCTCCTCTGTGTGCCCATGAGCCCCGTCACCATTCACCATGGCTGTATCTGCACTGTGCCCTGCAACGGAGGAGGACAATGAATGTTACTTCCTGTTAGGGCTGCACGATAGGGTAAAAACATCAATTATTTTGACAGATATTACGATATGATTCTCGATTAGTGTGGGTACGATCATTTTTGAATCATGAATTTAATTGTCACTGAAACTAATTTTTGGGGGGCTGTTGCAAACAAACAAGTTTTCTGAAATCTGGAGAAATGTGAAGGTCAGGGCAGCTCTTCAGAACTACAGCAGTTCTTCATTATAATGCTGTTTCATCCCATTTTACAATTTGCATATTGCACTTGGCCATATTTTGATAATATTTTGATTTCCTGTGATGATAATGTGACAACTCTGAACAAAAGATGCAGCTAAAAGCATTGAAACCACTCTAACACAACCCAACTATGTTTTAAACCTGCAACGGCTATCTGATGTGCTGTGGACAAACAGCTCTGTTCTCTACAGTCTACAGCTGTCATTAATCAATAATTGGATCAACAGGGAACGCCACCTTCGGATAGTCAACCATGCAAAGAAAGTCATCCTGACAACAAAAACACCAGACTGTTTTCTTCTACCACAGGAAAACATAGAGACGCTGCCAGGCAGCCGGGGTCACAAACAAAGCACACAGACCCAGAGGCTGGATGACCTTACCAGCAACCTTATGAAATATTTATGAATGGGAGAACAGGGCCAACGAAGCTCAGCTACAGTATGCTGGTGCTGTGGTGGTACTACGTTTTAATTCAAATGCAAATTAATTCAACACAAACAACAAAGTGTGGGTGATAGGCTCCAGACGTCACTTCAATCAATCATCAACTGTACAAAAAAAGTTGAAACTCCAAAACCACAGATCACCAAGGATTGTATCAAGACATTTAACAATAAGTAACCACTCGTTCTTTTCAGCTGATCTAGGCAGAAAGTACCCATTTTCCAACACCAACAGGCTGAAACCGACACTGTTGCGACACTGGAGGGAGTTTAGCCAGGGAGCCTCGAGGGATTGAATACTAAAAGATTGCAGCATTCACAGGAGGGAATTATTGGTCACTTGCATGATGGGAAATTGTGGTAATTACAATACCTGCAAGTCAGCCAGTAACCATTTACCAGCCGCCCTTACTCTTTTATGGACATTCAATCTCTCAAAATGACAGTTACTCATTATCTTTACAAAATAAGCATGGCATGAAAAATCTGAGTGGATGAATGAAAGGCCCACTTGCTCTCATTATACGCACAACACATGCATTATATTTCCCAACTTTTCTAGAGTAGGTCACAGTTAAGGTGACAACAAAATCACATGAATAAAAATGAGGCACATTCATTTAAAAGAAAGGAGCGGCGTCTAGAATGTGGATGCCGGACACCTGTTTTCTCTGACTGGGACACAACTGCTGCCAGCCGGTGTGTCCTTGCTCACTGTCAAGGGTAAACAGCGTCAGGGTTACTGAAGAGAAGGGGCCAAAAGGAAGGGGTGGGGCCTCATAACTAGACCACAACCCTGGGTGGGAAGGAACGCACTGAAATGGTGGAGGAGGAGCAGCAGGGGGAGGAAAGAAAGGGGCGACCGGCCACGCTCTGAACAACAAACACAACAGCTTCAGAGCAGACAGGCAAGCTAATAGTGTTACAAACCAGAGGACAAAGAGGGCTCTGTGTTCTGTTTCTTTGTGTTCGGTATTAGTCAATTTCTTATCATATCTGAGCTCTTTTCGTCAAACTGCTTACTTCAGGAATTAAACCCACAATAACCGATCTCTTCCTCGGCAGGAAACAAGCTGTAAACACCGACATATCACCTTCTAATTTGTGAAAACTGTTGCTTATTTCCACATCCTGCAGTCACAGAGCAACATTATCATTCATTTGGAGTCACGTTTGTGTCCCACCTGAAGAATGCAAGTCCAATATTCACTCTACTTTAGCCCCGTTTTTGGTCTCTGGTCTGTCTGGTGCTGACTAGGTAATATAACAGTGGGTTTTTAAACCAGCTTCCTGCTGCATCTGACACTGTGAGAGTAATGAGAGTGAACCAAAACAGGGGAAATCGGAAGCCGGAAAAATGAACAATGAGCTGAAGTCGAGTCGATTTCTTGTCATCACCAATGAGGAACATCAAATAAAATATTTTAGCTAGAAGCATTCACCACACGAGGAAGGCAAAAGTACAAAGTGCCAGAAGTACTGTGATTGATGAGGCAATCCGGCAGCCTATGTGTTGCAAAACCGGCCCAATCCGCCCGGCAGTAATGTTAGAGAGTTCAGTAGGAGGTGGGAATGAGGAGAGAAGTCACCAGTTTAACAGTGAACAGGAGAACTCTCATGCCTGCTATTGCTTTAAAAGGGAAGATAGGAAGTAGAAACAAAGATGCATCAAGAGCTTTCCTTAATGCCTTTCCTGTTGAAATGAGATATGGTGGCGAGATGTAATATGACGCTGGGGTGACACAGCAGTTTAATCTCAGCTGATGGGATTTTCATTAAGCAACATTAGAAGAAATCTATAGACATACTCAGACTTCCTGATAACACATGTGATCAGATAGATAACTGGTGATAATTTTGTTTTTCCATTAAACAATACATTAATAAATATACATTTATAAAAGGAAACCATACATAGTAAAATCCAACCAGTGAAGCTGAGAGGACAACTCTATCAACTATCAGAGATTTTAGATACAAATGATGTGGGCAGTAAATTATTGATTCAATTGATCTTTGAATCATTGTGATAAAGTATCACAGATATTTAATGACTTATCTATTCATCCATCAATAAACTCTGAATTAATGGAGTTTCCTCTGCATGTAATGCAAGAAGTGTCTCCAGTAAATGACACTTAAATACAAGAATAACACATTCTGTTAAAGAGTTTCTCTATTTCATAATTTACCCAACGTCTGCAAATAAAGATCTTTAAACATGTCGTTGAATTTACATCACTAGACCAAACTCACTGTCTGTAATTTGCAAATGAAACCACAAATGTTAAAAAACAATTAAAAACTATACACAATATAACAGATCTGAGAGGCTCAACCTAAAAACAGTGGGGTGAAGCACGCAACACACACACACACACACACACACACACACACACACACACACACACACACAGTTAGACAGTTACCTCTGGGGTGAAAGGTGAAGGTAAGGAATCAATGAAACAATGACACCAGGCAGATAAAGACAGAGCAGAGGCAGACACAATGAAACAACATAAAGCTAAAGTTTTTACAACTGAAACTGACCCAATAAAGCTTTTAGTGATAATTCACATGGTTTTCTTTCTTGATTCTTAGAAATAAGCTTTTCTTAACAACTAAATAATAAATCCAGCAGCCGGCTATCCACTCTGCGGCCCTTGACATGGGGACCCTGGCTGCTGCCATGGCAACATTAACTAGCCAGACAACCCTGAAAACAACATCATCATCAACAACAACAGAAGGTCTGTCTGTAATCATGTTTTCTGGACCACATGGTGGTAACCTCCTGGTGGACAGGCTGACCCTGAGTCATACATCTGCAGCAATTTGATTTCATAGCAACAAAGACTGAAAACCGGGTCTGTTTGAGACTTTATAAATGAATTAAGCACCGAGTGAGAATAACTCAACTCTACAATAAAATGTAGTGCCAACACACAAGGTTATGTGAAGATAGTCTCAAACGATTGTGTCGTAACACGTTTATTTTAAGAAAATTCATCATTTTTATAATTGATAATATAGTTTTCACTGTTTTATAACTTTTTATTAATTAGCAATTTAAAAGATTACATCCTGGGGGTCTTTAAACTAAAATATAAAGAGTCATGAGTTATTATTATTATTATTATTATTATTATTAGTCTTCTCTTTTGTCTTTTTTTCCTGTAAAGTACTACACAGTTTATTCTCTTCAGGCCCACATAAATAACAGAAATCATTGCACGTAGATGTTCTTTTATATTTACAAGCTAATAAATGTTAGCAACCATTGCTATAGATGATGAATACAGCAGGAATAATGACTGTGGGCTCGTGAGGAAGACATCTGTCCAGCAGAGGACCGGTGCCAGAGTGTCAGTGATTCCTGGGATTAACCAGGTCACTGTTCACCCCTGTGGAGCATTCGGCTCCTTAAAACCCCAAACAGTGACCCTCACCTTGACCTGTCTGCTCTGCCGTGTCCTGTTACCCCTCTGCACTGACAGTCCAGTGTCAGCCTTCATATCAGACATGTTGAGGCCATCGGTCCTGTCACCGTCTCTCATACGTGACAGACAGCGTTGTGGCAGGTCACAAGTTAGGCTCAAGCTAATAGTTAGTTGGGTCATAAAATGTCCATCAAAAGTTCCTAAAGTCTAAGATGACACCATCAGGATGCTCCTTCTGTCCAACCAGCGCTTTCAAGACTTAACATATTACAGTTTATTATCACATAAGTCAAAGAAAATCAGGAAATCCTCACAATTAAAAGCTGGAACCAGAGAATATGTTTTATTAAAAATGTTTTAATCGTTATTCTGTTGAATGAATAAATTAATTAACAGACTATTTGTCTCTAAAAATGAAGCATCCATTGATCCATGTGGGCTTATGGACAGACAAAGACCTGGCAGCACATACATAAATCATCATCCAGCTCAATTAACACACAATCAGCTCCAGCTCACTCCCTGACAGATGAACCAACACTGAACACCATCGCCTGTGTTGTGTTCCTCTCTATAAAATGACACAGAGACGATTCAAGGTCCCACATGTGACACACAGACAGAGAGAGAGAGACAGACAGACAGAGAGAGAGAGAGAGAGACAGGCGTGCAGCAGTGACTCTTGGTGCTCTATAAGTTGTATAACGTTAAGTTCACCGGCTGACAGTTCACGTCTCCGTTTAATGTCCCTCCGCCGAGAACAGTCCGCAGCGAGCCGCCGCCACTACTACTTTTATCTGACAGTATACTCACCGGCTTACACGTCTGTTCAGGTATTATTAGCGTAACCTTCCCTCTCACTGTGCATGCACCATCATGACTTTTTTTTTCCTACGACAACCAGCTTCCGCCTCCGGGTCGAGGAGGGACGCTCGATGTAGTGTTCCGCGGCGGGGGGAGGGGGGGGACAGATAACAACGTTACCACCGCCCGCCGGACACTTTATCCCACTGACATCTCTTACAAGTTAAACTAAACAGTAAAAAAAAAGAAGACAACGCATTAACAAACCCCGTCGGACACACAGCCATTAGATAAACTGAGCCCACGAGTTCGAACCCCCCCTTGTGTTCACGGCAGCGGTGTGCGGCTCCACTGAAGGTGACCTTCAGTTCATTCCTCTGACACGCTGTTACCGAACATGTGCGTGGACCCGAGGCAGCACAACACCAGCTCGTGCGGACCGACAGTGGGCTGCACAGGAGGCTCGTGCTCCGTTTTCAGAGCCCGTGCGCGTCTTTATTTGGGGGTCGTGACGTGAAAACATGACGGTGACCACAGTGCCTGTTAGCTTAGCTTAGCTTAACTAGCCGCACATTCAATGAGGAGGCTAGTGTTAGCATGCCGGCTGTTTTGGGTAAGCCCTGTGTGCAGGCTGGACTACATGTTCATAAGCTGTGACTCAGGGATGTAGAGGAGGTCGCGAGCTCGCTAATTGATCAAGATATTAACACCAGACAGGCTAATTAGCAGATGCTGCTAGGTGGAGCCTGCAAACTTTGGAGAGCTGGCAGGGGGTTAGTAGGAGGAGGGGGGGGTAGACCTCACAGACCACCACCACCTTGGGTCTGAGGACTTTAAAGTCACATCACAAAGCGTGGAGACGAACGTCACCAGTTTTAGTGAATGCTTTGCAGGAACAACAAACAAGAAAACAACCAATAAACCCGCACTGAGTCGTAGAGGTGAAGCACAGAGATGCTGGCTATAAGAAGCGGTGCAGTTCACTGTATGTGCTAGGTGTGATCAGTGTATTCATTATGTATGTCAGGTGGTTATAAACAGCAGATAATGAGCTGCTGCAGGGTCTCACCACAACCGCAGGAATCCTTCACACTTGTCTTGCTGGTTTCTTTGCTGTCCCCGGCTCCATCCCCGGCTTCATCCGCAAGATCAACCGGATTACAGTTAGGCACTGACGCCGGGATGTCATCTGTCTTGCTCACCATGGTCGGCAGTCAGTGTGGCAACACAAATCCCCCAGCAGGGTCGCTTGAATATGTGAGTCTGTGTAAAGAAATACAAAAAGAAATCTGCTTCTCCGGATAACGAGGGCGAGCTGGCTACATGCGAAGGGTACAGGCTTACAAAAACAAGTCTACCGAGGAAGGACAGTGCTGTACATGGTGGTGATCACACGTGGTTTCTCCTCCCCTCCTCTTGACCTCTTTGCCTTTGCGTTGCACCTCCCCACCGACTGAGCGTGGCGCTACGGAAAGCTACATGAGACAAATCGGTTTATTACAAACTCCTCTTTGGTATTTTTTTCATATTTTTTTTTGGGGGGGGAGGGTGTTGTGGCTGTTTAGACTTTATTTTGCACTGCCAGATAAAATGAGATCAATGCCTGATTGTAGAGACACAGTATTGGTTCTGTTATTAAATCCACAAACGTCATCAGCTCCACACTGAAAGAGCAGCAGCACCTCAAGTTCCCCAATTACACTTACAGAGTTACAGTATCCTGATGCTGCAGTACCACATAGCACCACATTCACTGTGTGTTAATAGGTAATATAGACTCACTTTAAGACCCTGATGTCTTTTAATACTTTAAATGTCCACATTTTAAATGAACTGGTATACAACAGTGCAGTATATGAGTATTTATACACTGAGCAGTTTCTATCAGATTAATCTATGATTTCCTGGTGATATATAAAACAGCTTTAAGGCTGCTATCAGCACTCACCTTCTCTCACCTTTGAGGGACAATCACAGCCTAAATGATCCAAGGGTGTGATCAATTCTGTGAGAGTACGATATCAAAGAATACCATGAAAGTATTCATACACTCATTGGTAACTCTGTTTCCTCGCTCCTCCACTGTAAGATGAGCTCAGTTGAAGTAATCCTGTGTTATGTTGTCAAACAGTGTTAATAAACCTACTGAGGGACAAAAGGCATAATCACCTTGTGAATTATTTGGTCTGTCAAATAGACAAACTCAATACTGATTTAATGCTAACTTAAAGGACCAGTGTGTCAAAAGTTGCTCCCTCACTTCACCCTTCAGCTCCAAGCACAAAGGAGAAACTACAGTGGCTGCAATATGCCCGAAAAATCCAAAAGGCTCTATTTATTGTTTGGTTTGTCCATTCTGGGCTACTGTAGAACTACGCTGGTTCGACATGGATGACTCGGGCAACTTGCAGCATCTGTAGATAAAAACGTCTCATTTTAAAGTAACACTAATGAAAACATACCTATGAATATTACATTTGATTTCTGACAATAGATCCTCCTAAATGTTACACACTGGACCTTTAAATACAATCTGAAAATGTATATGCACCTTCACCTCAGTGTGAAAACAATTTATCTTGTCTAAAAATAAATAAATCCTGAGGAATCACTTCCTCTGTACCAAACAAAGAGCTAATTTGGGCTTGAAACATTGTATTTCTCTTAATGTAATAACATTTTACAAGGTGCAGATAACTGTATTAGGAGAGTTTCAGGCTCCTCTTACAAAACAAATACACAGAAACTGAGGCTGGTCTTTCTCAGAGAGATCCAAAGCATTTTACTTTTATGTTTATTGTAAATTCTTTATATCTAAATGGCTTGAATAATAATATCGTAGATAATGAATGTAAAAGAGAATAATGTACAGAAAGATCTAAATGAAATAACACCCTAGTTATTTATTTATTTTTGTTGTATATTATATTATTATATAATAATAATATAAAGATGTGTTGAAGCTGTGCTGTCGGATCCAACCACATGAACTTCAGTCTCTCATCCATTGAAGGTGATTTAAATAAAACAAAAACAATCGAGCTCCATCATTTAATCACCAGCTAATTTATTCTCAGTTTCTATTCTAATCAGGTTTTCTCTGATAAACCTTCAAGCAACAATAACAAGCAGGCAGCAGACTTGACAATCCTTCTTTTTATTCCAATTATGTGTACAGTCGATCACTATAGGAAGCTAACACAGTATATGCGGTAATCAGTCAGTAGCTTATGCTCCCCCGATGACCAAACCATACAACGACCCAGAGCAACATCTCCCTGTTGGGTACCACACAGCATTATTGCTAGAGACCACATAACGTGTCAAACAAGATGCTTTATGGCGCCGTACAGGACACTGAAATGTCTCTCAAAGATGCAAAATAAACTTATTTGACCTCAGCCAGAAGGACGAGACCTGAAAACGCTGCTGCTGACGTTTGTTCTCATTATTAATATGAGGATTAGGGTTATTTTTATATAGGCGTTTAGAAAGGATGGAAGACGTTTCCCTGTGGGTGTGAGTAAATCATCTACTTTCTTGCTATGTTCAGGGTGATGTAAGATTAACTGTGGTATCGTCTGAAAAGTATAAAAAGCAAATCAAGCGGTGAGATTTACTCTCTGAAATATTCATGAGAAGACATCTTCGTTAAGGCATCGCACCCTTCGTCTTCATGTTAATTTTTAGTGGTGGGCCTCTTTGGCTCATTAGCATTTTCCTTCAAAAGCAGGCAAACAAGTCACCAGTGCCTCGCACACAGCAGCCAGTATTTTGATCATTTATCAAGCTGTTACATAATTACCAAAGTACAGATCATCTAAAATGTGAGATGATGCAGGATGTTAATTAGATTATTTAAAGGTGGATGGAGACTTAAATCTACCTGCCGCTTCGTTTGGATGACATGTGGAGTGATGAAGTCTTAACAGTCTAAGTTCAGGATGCCTGCTGGGGGAGGAAGAAAACAGTTTCTCAACAAGACAGCTTTGTATCTTTATCCCCTACTGTCTCATAAAACTTGAGGAAGAGTAGTGCACACAGTCATGCTAATGGCTTTAGCAGCTGACAGGTGAATGAAAATCCTTGTCACATTTGCATTTTTTCTTCTAAAAGAAAAGAAAAAAGAAGACAGGTTTAGTTCGTTTTCATCCAGACAGTCTCATGTGGCATAATAATATGCCCATTGGCTTAATGCTGCTTCACATGCAGCATGTCATCAATTCCTTGCTTGGATATGCCTCCTATTAACTGTAACATAACAATTCAATCCTGTAAAGATTCAGTGACAGTCAACAAACAATCTATTAGACAGTTCAGAAAAATATCAATAAGCAAAACATACTGAGCTCAACCATTACAAAATACAAAGTTAAACAATCATAAAATCTATTTTAACACCTCAAGTGTCCTTAAAACCAGCTGACGTGACCCACTAATAATATATAAATATATTGATATATTGCTTTATTGAAGATATACTGCGAAAAAACTTAACGCTAAACTTCTAACCAGTAGCTGTAGAAGGCGAGAAAAGCCTCACAGCAGCTAATCACAATTAAATTCAGTCCTACGGGAGGGCTCATTTTAAAAGACACTGACTGATGCTCAGTTACGTCATGGCTCAAGTACAGACCGACTGTGACACAAATTTGAATCAAAAATAACTGAGGTGCCACATTACATACAGTAAACCTTTATATGCAAATCCCAAAGAGTCTTAGAAAAGTGTTTCAGAAACAAAAGGACACAATACTTTAGTAAATAAATGTCTTAAGTTTCCACACTGCATTATATCCACAGCTCTTCTATTATAAGGCAGCAATTACAGTCGGGTATAAGTGGACAACAGTGAAGCAATAACATAAAATACATTAAAATATAATCAATTAAAGTGGAAATTGTCTTTTTTTCAAGGTGCTATTTGCTCCTTGTTACACTAGGGGCCACCATGAGCATGTGTTTTGATAACAGAGGACACACACACACACACACACACACACACACACACACACACACACACACACACACACACACACACACACACACACACACACACACACACACACACACACACACACACACCTTTCTGCTGAGCCTGCCTTCTCTTCATTTACAGTACACAGTCACTGTCTCGGCGTGCGCTGTAACACAGCTACTTTGGGAATCTGTGTAAAAACTTCAAAAAGGAACACACTGCAAACAGACCATCTTCAAACTCAAACACCAAAACATCCAGTCACGTTCTTGTTTGTCCATTTTTCCTGAGGTGAAAAGAAACCCCAACTGAACAACCTCAAACACAAATAAGTTGAAGTAGTAGTAGTAGTAGTAGTAGTATGTATGTATGTATGTATGTGTGTATGTATGTATGTGTGTGTGTGTTTAGTACACAAACCACACCTGAGTGATACACATGGTCCAACGGTTCAAACAAATCGTCACCTGAATGTGGCCTGTTTATACAAGGCAGTCACTACAGCGTGAGCTCAATTTGTGGCTTTTAGACACTAAATATTTAGTTCAAGATGCAAAGTTTTCAGGTGTCCGGCAAGTTAACTTCTTTAACAGCTGCTTTATTAATCACAAATTAAGTGAAATGTATTCTTAAGATAATGACAAAAAACGTGTGTTATGTAAGTACTGAGATGTGGAGAGTTAATTTTTTGTTTACCATGATATGCATTTATATTTTTGATGCTCGTATGATGGTTGTAAAATGTAGAAATTTTTTCATATGGTCTGAAATAAAGTATAATAATTAATCAGTAATACACTTTGCTATTTTAAAGTTTGTTTTTAGTCACTTGAGGCCATGGTGAAGCATAATTATTGTTGCTACATTTACCACTGGTTTATTCACTGGTTTGAAACAGTTTCAGCTGTCAGCAGATCTCTGTTTCTCCCTCAAATAGTGTTTCCTGAAGTGTTGCCTTCTGTCGTTATGTTGGCGTGTGGTCAGTTGTTGTTGAGATAACAGGTTGAGGTTAAAGGTTTCAGTAAAGGTTAGGGGAAACACAAATTCAGACCATACTGGAATTATATTTAAGTGTCCTGATAAATTATGTTCATGAATTCCTTTCAGCAAATCAGATAATATTTTCTGTGGCAAATGGTTTAAAGTGTAATACAGATACGATTGATCGATATATGACCTAATAGAGTGATATGCAGCAGTCATGGATTCAAATTCTATTGTTTCTAATCTGTTGTCGTTGTTTTTTCCCCCAAGTAACAGGAACACACTTCCTTCCAATCTATATTTTTTCACATGGAGGACACACAGACATGAACGCCACTTCTGATATTTCAGCTGTCACTCAATCAGGGGCCACGCAAACGTTTGGTCACATGGTTGATTTAAGGTTGGCCTTGAAAGGTCACACTTGGTTGGGCCACCCAGCCGGCCTTGTGGTCCACCTTAAATGGTTGCTACCATGGTCAGACTCACCATCGCCATAAATCAAAAAGGGGTTGCTTTGAAATAAGGCCCCACTGTATATTGAGCATGAGACACTAGTGTAAACAGATCATTTATCTAATTCACTTAAGACTGACTTAAAGTGATACTTTGCTTTGCAAATTATTTAAGGTTATATCAAAGTCCATCTTAAAAAAGTGTCTACGATAAGTGTAATATAATTCAATAGCTAAAACCAGTCTCAGTATCAGTCAAGGTGCAGAACAACAGTTAACAGGATTAACAGTCTGACAGAAGATAATCATACAGTGATCAAACTGCAGTTAAAAGCTCAGGTCACAGTAGTCGCTAATCTGCCTTTGCCTCAGCAGCAGGTGGCGCTGCAGCTGAAGACATCAGTCTGGCAGCTTCATCCTGGGGCTCCACTGGCCCCTCCCCACCGCCTTCCTCATCCTCCTTCTCCAGGCCCAGCGGAGGCTGTCTCTGTGCCACAGTTTGCCTGGAGCGAGCCCTGTGCCGTCGAGGGTGGAGGAAGAGCGCAGGGTCCGGCATCGCCGTGGGCTCTTCGGGGCCCATCACTTTCTCTATGGGCACACACTCCCGCGCACGCTCCACTCTCGAAGATGCTCGTGCACTCTTACGCTTGGGTTTAACCACTGGAGAGGAAGGGGAGGCCCCTGACGGCATCTGTAGAGAACCAGAGTTCTGCTCAGCACCGTACTGGGCCCCTTGACTGTTGGCTCTGGCGAGGAGTCCCTGCCTCTGCTGCATCCGCTGGTGGTGCAGTTTCTGCCTAGCAGCATGCAGCTGGAAGGAGAGGTATGCTGCTGCCTCGGTTTGTTTCTGCAGCTCTGTGTTGAGGATGGTGGAACAGTGGCTGCGGCGTTTGAGCTCCTCCAGGAAATGGCGCTCCTTTTCCTTGAGATTGGCTCTGAGGGCTCCCACCAAAGCCCCTTTGTGACTCAGCTCCTTGCGGAGCTCTCCTAAGGTGCACTCCCGCTCAGCCAGACGGTTTTCCAAGTGCTGACAGCTGGCCTCCAGGAGCTCCTCTTCCTCCTGTAACTCTGAGATGGACCAGAAATGCGAGTGTTAATTATAAACATATTAAATTCAGTTTTTCCATTTATAAAATGAGCAAGGAGATTCATGGTGTATCTATACAGAAACAGCTTAATAATTCTCAAAAACAACAACTTACTACAGTGTTCAACATCAGCACACACATTTAAACAAACAATACACAGCACATACACACAGTTTAATAAACACTGCATTACCATAGAGGCAGAGTACATATCTCTATAAGCCTCGATGCAGCAGCTCTAATCCTCAGCACACATGACGATAGAGGCACTACTCAGAGATTGTCCAGAACATATTTAGGCTGCGACTGACTCAGTTAAATAGATACGAATATAGTTAACTGGTCTGAGTATTTGGTCAATCTCCAGTGTCCTCTCAAAGTCTGATCTGGATAATCTGTGAGCTAGAAAATGGTACAGTATGGTGGCTTTAGAGCAGTAGATGGAGACAACACACACATGGAAATGGTAATCAATTGACAGGCTGTACTACAGATGGGAAGTTTATCCATATTTATTCTTTATCATCTAGTGTCATATTTTAGGGTTTGTTTTTAAGATAGATGCATGATACACAAATATGTCTTTTAGATGAATCAAACAGTCACATTTCTTCCAGAATTATTTCAGAAACACTTAAAATATTCAACCTTTGTTCGTGTAATTTACTAAACATGAACAAATATCGCAAAATGCAAAGACTAGAGATAAAAACTTCACTCACTTTCTGTTTACACTGTGTTAGAGATTGATTCAACTGAGGTTACTATGTCATTTATTTCTTCTATATATCATATAGAATCGGTTAATGCCCAAAAAGTTTAAATTCCCATCCCAATCAGTTTCCCTAAAGCCAAAGAGGATGTCTGACCAACAGCCCAAAACCAAAAGAGATTAAATTTACATTAATAGTAAAGAGAAAAAAACAGCAAACTGCTCACATTAGAAAGCCGGCTAACTCTGCATTTTTACTTGATAAATGACTTAAACGATGAATTAATCATTAGTATTCACATAAGGCAAGTGAGGGAGAGAAAACCCTGCAGCCCAGATCACTAAATGAACATAAAGATAGTCCTTGCAATCTGATATATTCTCACATATGGACAATAGTTCACTGGCTAAATCCTATTTCAGCATCGTTCCCAAGAGATAAAATACTACATCTTGAGGCCTCCCCTCCACATGAACTTCAACCTCTCTGCCAAGGTCAGGTTTAACCGCAGTATACTGCTTATTGGGCTTTTTTTTTTTTGCTTCTGTAGACAACCTTTATGCTCTTTCATTCCAGTAAAATTCCCCTGAGGAGAGAGCGAGGTATGGATGAGAAGTCAGTGCAGCAACCTCAGGGCTGACTGAGCGAAGGCTTGCCAGAGGAGAAGGAGCTTACATCCACAGAGGCCGGCACTGATGCCTCTGACCATAGAAATAGGTCAGGTTTGCTGAGTAGGAGAATCCCAAAGGGGTGGAGGGAGGTTTAGTGAGTCCTGGAGGTGAAATTATAAAACCTAGAATTCATATTAGGCTTAAATGTAATAGGGTGTTTCATACATTGATAAAAGCTTTGAGTTTGAGGTTGACTCTGTTACATTTTACTGCTTTATTATCTACATTTTCACTTGCTCTGCTTCTCTTTCTTATCGGATGTCTTTCCGGTATTATTTTTCTATGACTTCACTTTCATCATACTAGGTCCTTTCTCAACTGTGATTTACCTTTTCTAGTATCTCTTTCCTTCCTTCTATATTCTCAACCCTCTATCTTCCAGGATTAATCCTCAGAGGAGCGATCAGTCTCAGGTTTTCTGTCGCCCATCACCACACCCAGGCTGAGCTAATATGCTAACTATAGACTACAGTACCTAATGTGATCTTCACGTCCCTTCATACCCCTCTTTCCCCCTCCTCCATGTCTGTAGCTGACCGCATCCTGCCGCCTAGTCTTCTCCCTTAATCTCTCTCCTCGCTACCTCTCATTACCTCTCTCCTTCCACCTCTTCCTCTCTCTCTCTTTTCCTCGCCTCTACGTCTCGCTTGTTCTCAGCAAAGTCTGTAAGTAGACACCCCCGCTGGGACAACGAGGGAAAAACGAGAGCAGGAAAAGAAAAAGAGGATGGATCAATTTGTCAGGGTGGGAGGAGAACAGAGGGCCGTGCTGTATTGATGGATCTGGGGATAACCTGTCCTGGAAAATGGAGATGGGGTCTAATGGCTGAGTAATGCAGCCCCCCCTCCTCTTTCTCTCTACAAGCACACACACACACACACACACACATTCACACAGCCTTTTGACTTCTCTCTCTCTGTCTCTAATTCGCTGTGACAAAATGGTGCCTATCTCTGCATCCCTGCATCCAGACACCACAAACGGTCCTGCACATGTCAGCTATGAGCCAAATACGTTGAGGCATGCTGTCTTTGCCGAGTGTGTGCAGCTCTCACACAGCTGTGAACAACCTCCTTTCACAGAGGAAAATTACACATATGTATAGAAAAAAGCTAATAAACAAATAGAGGGAAGCACTTGAACCCGTGATTGAGTCTGTGTATGATTTTTGTGGGTAAGGAAATGAGGAGAGAGACAGGGAGGCATGGGTGAGAAGAGGGAGGCTGACAGGGATCAATCCTCTGGGGGATGGGGGGGTGGGAAGGACACAGAGTGGCGGGGAGGGATGCAGGCGTTACAGGAGTTATGGTGGACGTGTGTCTGTCGTTTTGTCTCCAGTGCAGAGGAAGAGAAATAAAATACAGACTGGTGAGGAAAAACAGACGCATGAAGGAGGGACTGACTGTTTTTTTTTAACAAACCTATTTGGCTCCTGCCTGGAGGCTTCACTTTCAGCTCGCTTGTCAGCTCTGAAAAACACAGGAGAAAAGACAAAAAACACAGGAAAGAGCAGTTAAAGAGACAGAAAATATATTAAAAAACACATGAAATCATATTGTTAGAGCTTAAATAGAGATGCTCAAAGGTGCAGGAATGTCTCAGTAAAGCTGTATGCTGACATTTTCTGTCGCTGGTTAACATAACAGATGCTCGATGCAGTTTTGCAGCACTTTTTCAGTGCGCTCATACATAATTTATGAAGATAGATCTGAAACTTTACATCAAAGACTGTGTGTCAGAGACTTGGCCAATAATGTTACATTACTTGTCACGGTCTGGAGAAAAACGTTCTTTACTGTAACCTCAATAAGACATATTAGCATTCCTCACTGAAATCAATATTCACTTAAATGAAAACTTCTGGCTGTGCAATTTGTTTCAAGAGGGAATGCAAACCAAACAAATAGGAACCCTAAAAAGATTTTTTTTAAATGCTTGCTATTAAACAACGTAAGCAGAGTCGCATTTATCAAACCTCTGATGTAGCTGAATAACGCTTTACACTGGCAATGGCTGTGGCAGATTTCATTCTCAAACATGTTTACAGTTTTCTTACAGATTCTCACTAGAACATCCTGCAGACTTATTGATTATAAAGGTGATTTGTGATTTTATATGGAGTGCTGGTCAATAACGATGTTCACAATTGATTTATTTGAACATTTGCTGAATGAGGGTGACTTCCTGGTGTGTATTGATCTTAGGGGTGCACTAATTAGGAAATTCTGGGCTGATACCAACACCGATGTTTGGCTGATAACCCTTTTTTATTTGTTAATTATTCACCCTTTGTGTCGGGAAACAAATAAATCTTTGCCTTGTTACCAGGGCTGGAAAACATATTATATGTGGGAAGTAACAAACACAACATTCAGCCAGACCGACTGCATCCAGAACTGTATTGTGCAGTTTTGTGTTTCTCCTGAATACCGTTGCACTCTGTTTCAAACTGCAGATGGATTTTATGTCTTGCATTAGTGGCCGGCCTTCACATCCATTTGTCTTTTGCCATAAAAACACAGATAGACAACAGGCACCGGACAGTCAGCAGAAATCGCCCGGCTTTATTTTATTGGATAATAAAACAGTTTTGATGACAAACATGATTGTATGTTTTTTTTTTTTTTTTTTTGCAGTGTAGAAAGTAGTAAAGGAGCTGAATGGTGTTACTGGGAGATACTCCACCAACATGATTAGGATTATTCAAATACTACATGATATGATACATGTATCTGGCTGGATACTGGATGTATTATATCTCAAGTCAGGGCATTACAACAACTAATGGTTTATGTTTATGAGAAGATAATGTTTCAGGCTGGTTATTAGCAGTGTTGGACATTCCCTGATGGAAATATTCCAGGTTAGAGTCTCTGAGGGGGTTTGTGGGGGTCAGACTGCTGGTTGTGTCTGGCCTGTCAGTCAATTCGATGGTACGTCAGGGAGCCTTGAATGCACATTCATTAAGGTGTGTGTGTGTGTGTGTGTGTGTGTGTGTGTGTGTGTGTGTGTGTGTGTGATACCAGTAGATTTTAGATGAATGTGACATAGAGTTGTCCTATTTCAATTTCCCGTAGCCTGAAATATAAGCCTGTTCAATCATAAACTAGTTTAATGCGAAGAAAGGAGAAACCCATAATTTTAAATCTGTAACTCTCTAATAAAACTCACTTAGATGTTAACTGTAAATATAAAGTAGAACTAGTAAAAAAAATAAGGTGATACTGTTAATCTGCATTTTATATTGAAAAAGAGTCTAGATCAATGTAGAGAGCCTTTCTTCTGCTCTTGTTCTCCCTGTCACACCCTTTCTCCTTCCCTCTGCAGTCAGCACAGCACGCCCACCCATGCAGCTGGCATGAAGAGACAAAAAGGACAGAGGGGAGGAAGAGGGGAGGAAGAAAGATAGTAGGGAAGGAAGGCCACATTTTAGACTAAGGGATAGGCTTAAGTTCAATGAAATGTATTTGGAAAAATACATGCAAATAAAACAATGTATTAATTTCTAATGTGCCACAATAATGAAATGTTTTTGAAAATATCTTCATTCGTGTGCTTTTCCAAGCAAATATTGATATACACTGATAAGCCATAACACTATACGCACAGACAGGTGAAGTAAATAACACTGATTATCTGGTTATCATGGCACCTGTCAGTGGGTGGGATATATATTAGGCAGCAGGTGAACATTTTGTCCTCAAAGCTGATGTGTTAGAAGCAGAAAAAATGGGCAGCATGAGGATTTGACAAGGGCCAAAGTGTGACGACTGGATCAGAGCATCTCCAGAACTGCAGCTCTTGTGGGGTGTTCCCAGTCTGCAGTGGTCAGTACCTATCAAAAGTGGTCCAAGGAAGGAAAAGCGATAAACCGGAGACAGGGTCATTGATGCACGTGGGGAGCGAAGGCTGGCCCGTGTGGTCTGATCCAGTAGACGAGCTACTGTAGCTCAAACTGCTGTAAAAGTTAATGCTGGTTCTGATAGAAAGGTGTCAGAACAGTTTCTTTGTGTATGGGGGGCAGCGATCGGTGTATGTACTTGTTTGCAATTGAATCATATATTTCTGCCATGAATATTTCTCCAGATCCGCCCCTGACTGCCAGAAGCATTTATGAAGTTAATTTGACTGCAGGGAGTCGGCTCTAGGAACTATTTCGTGAAACAACAGTCAAACAATGAAAACGAGGAGCTCAGCACATTGCAGCATGCAGAACGCTTTGTAGGTCAGGCTTATCTCTGGGTTTTTGTTTTCAACCTTGAATTTGGGAAAGACATCTTGCAGGACACACACTTAATTAATTTCTATGACACAAAATAAACACATTACATCAAAGGAAACCCCCCCCATTATAAAAACAGAAGATAGAAATTGATTTTGCTTCTTGCTGGAGGAGGCGTGAGTGCCTTTATGCTGATGAGGAAACACTGAGAGTTTGGAACAATAAAAGAGAGGTCAGCAGGACAAAGGCAGAGCTAATATGCACGGCAACATCGTCAGCTCAACCTTGCGGAACCCTTCCAGGCTACACATTAGTAAGCTGGCAGCACACACCTATCACACCTGCAAGCTGCTTCAGCCTATCAGCAGCTTGCCTCACAGCAGTCCTCATCAACCACATTTTATATCTCAAAACCCTCTTTGAATCTAACAACTGACCGCCATTTATACATGCTGTCAAAATGTATAAACATGGCCTGGTAACAGAGAGGAAGACTTTCATCTGAGCTGCCAAGTGGTAATAACAAGAATGATTTGAAGATGACTTACATATAATAACAAGTCTCTTTGTTGTTGCTTTCTAATGATTTAGCTCCCAAAAACTGAATTCAAGATCTTTCACAAGCAAAAATCCATGTAAACAAAAAGCAGACACACGGATAATTAGCACCAAGAAACAGAGGGGATGCCTCTCATCGGAGAGTGATAGCCAGAGCCCAGGGCCCCGAGAACTGCAACGCAACAGGATGGCCTGTGTCTGAGCATCCAGGCAGAGCGCCTCCTGTGATTAGTAAGACACCTCCGGGGTTCAGCTTCAGTCGCTGACGTTAATGACCACAAACCAAGCCAGAAATCTTGGTGTTGTCTTGGATTCAGACCTAATTTTCAATAGCTATATTAAGAGAATTACAAAATCTGCCTATTATCACCTTAAGAATCAAGACTCAAAAGACTTATGTCTCAGCAGGGTTTAGAAAATCTTATCCGGGTGTTTATCTTCAGTAGGTTCAATTACACTTTCTTTACAGGTCCGTCTAAAAGTCGATGAGACGGCTGCTGCTGATACAGGACGCTGCCGCTGGAGTCCTCGCTAACATCAGGAGAGTGGATCACATCATCGCTCCGGTTCTCAGATCTTTACCCTGGGTTTCAAACAATTGATTTTAAAATACTACTGTTGGCTCTTACAGCGCTGAAAGGTTGGACGTTACAAACCACCCTGACCAAAACTAAACGTGGAGGATCAGCATTCAGTTTTTAAACGCCACGTATCTGGAGGACGTCAAATATCTCCAGCTCTCAGTTCATTAAACTCTTCTATTATATCCGACTCTAGTAAATCCTGTTTAAATGTTGCATTTTGTGTCTTTTCTTACATCTTATCTGAAGCACTTTGAATTGCTTTGTTGTTGAAAGGTCCTGTACACATAAACTTGCCTTGCATACCCCTCGATCCATGAGAGTATGTAGTGGCCATTTGATCTTACTTTGCCTTTAAAAAAACAGGCATTTGCTTATGAAACCTTTAAACAGATTTCCACTCTGGCGCTGGAGCATCATAAGAAGCTTTAAAGACGCTGGGCAGAAAGAGATGTGTGTTTTTAGTGTGGTGTAATAATATCCCTGTGCATGCAGTCACACAGAAACCTCTGAGGAATGTGGAAATGAAAGGCTGCGCTGTAGGCAGATTCAAACTGGAGAGCAGATTAATGAATCCAGCATCTGCAGGACGGAGATTCATATTTGTGTTAATGAGTTCTGAGGAAGGAATATGTTTGTTTGTTTGTTTGTTTGTTGTTCTCTGGAGACTTGATTCAATCATTTTATAATGAAAACTATTGTCTTTTCTGGAGGTTTGGCCACGCGTTGTCTCGTTTTCTTGGAGCTGACGTTGAACACAAACACAACTTTAACTCCGTGTGGACAAACAATTATAAACAATCTGTGACGGCACCCATTTGGGCTGCCCTTTGTGTTTACAGTGGGAGACCCCGTGGAGACAAAGGGAGAGGAGGAGAGGACGAGTAAACAGTAAGAAACACACATTGTCTCATTGTTGGTGTCTCTCTCTCTCTCTCTCTCCCCCCCCCCCACACACACACACACACACACACAGAGTAACCACCAAGCACAGCTTTATTGACCAGATGTGATCATGCAGCAGAGCTACAAAGTGATGGAGGGGGTCGTTTTCTAGACAACTGGTCACATTGGCTCTGAGCCACCTCACCCTATGTCTCTCTCTCTCTCTCTCACACACAAACACGCACACACACACACACACACACACACACACACACACACACACACCCCTCCCCCTCCGCCCTCCCCTCCTGTGTATTTGTTAACCACAATCCAGTTCATATGAATAACTAAAGCTATGGGATCTGTGGATTAACCATGATGGATATGTTTGTATGCATCTGTCTGAGGAAAGATTGTGTGTGTGTGTGTGTGTGTGTGTGTGTGTACTTTTATTATTTTTTATTCTCTCCACAAAGATAAGTCTATTCAGTCACATAACGGGGTTCTCCTTCCTACAAGTTTAACTTTTCATTTTACAGGTTACAGATTCGTTTTTTTTTTAGGTTACAATTACGAGCAGGTTAATGTTGGTTCAGGCGTGTAGCGCTAACAGTAAATTATAAGGAAATCCTCCTAGGAATTAATTAAATTAAATATCCTCACAAGTATGGTAATACAAGTGTGTGTGTGTGTGTGTGTGTGTGTGTCCATAGGCACTTGCTTGCTTGATTAAATGGACGCCATATCCATTAGGCATGAAACAGGAAATGATGCAATCTACAGGAATTGTAGCATGACATCACCATGTAGTCACTGTCTGGCATTGATTGGAGCAGACACACACGATTAGATGAACAATGAGGCCTGTGTGCACACATATGGGTGTTGGGGAGATTTAGTTTATCTATTTGAAATTTGAAAAAATTTGAATAACTGCACTGCGGACTGTAACTAACCACGGAGTCACCACAGCAGCTTATGTTCCCTCCAGAAGTAAATACATGTCTGTGGTCCATCGAATGAAGGTGAAATGTAAAAGTAAAGTCAAAGTAAAAATGAGATTTAAATGATTTAAGGTTCTACCTGGATACAATAAGAAGAATATCTGTGTGAAGGCTTGGTGGATTATTATAATGTGCAAAAACCCTCATTAAATAAGGTCACGAAACTGTCTTCTTTCCAATAAAACATCAGGTCTGTAATTAAAAATCTAAATTAAAAAAAGGGGGTCAATGAGAAAGGTCTAGCACATAAAAAGAAAAAGCAAGCAACACCAAGGAATACGCTGATTAAATGTGAGCTTATTAGAACTGAAATAATTTGTAAATTTCAAAACAAGATGCCAAACAAATGTGACAATATGCTGCTTTTCTTTAGCACATATGACAGTAAACTGAATATATTTGGGTTTTGGAGGTTTTTTTCACCAATACAAGCAGTTTGAAGACATCACTTTAAAGAACTGTAGCCATTTTTAATCATTTTTTAACATTTTATAGACAAAACAAATAGAAAATGAGCAGATTATAGTCAGTCAGTTAAAATAAAGCTCATCTCTTCACTCTTCTTTAGTGCTAGTGACATAAACCCTTGTTGTAAAGAGTAACAGTAGTTTAAATAAGTCAGAAAGTACCTCAATGAAAATGTTGAGGGTCAGAAAAAGTTTCTTGGCCCTCACACACACACACACACACACACACACACACACACAACAGCAGCAGCAGCGTGTCCCTCACCTGAGCATCGTTTCTGCAGGGAGAGGATCTCCAGGTGGAGGCCGTGGAGTAAAGTGAGGTGCTCCTGCCTGAGGAACACCACGCTCCTCTCCACACTCCCTATCTGCCGAGACAGGCTGCCCTCATCCCCCATGACCGAGTCTGGGGAGACAGAAGGAAGGAAATCAGAAGGACTGATGGATTTTTCTTTTGTTTTCTCCATCAGCATCCACCTGTCCTAAAGAGACTTCCCTTTACCAACTTCATATTACGCAGTAAAGCCTCAACTCCAGCTGCTAAATGCCAGTTTCTCACACAGTGCACAATGCTTATGTCAGCCACAGATAAAGGGGAAGTGCAAGTTGTATATTGAGGTCATGTGGAGGCTATAAATAAGGTATTGATGACCAGAGAAAGCAACAGAAACAAGAGGATGCTGTTAGAGCAATACATGAGCCTTTTTACGTTTGATAGGCTATCACGTCGATGCAAATACCTCTGCTTACCTTTAAATGTATGTTAAGTGCCAAAATCTAATAAAAACGATTCGCAAGCGTTATAAAAACGTCCTCTGATCCGGGCATGCTGGCCTCCGGTGCTGGTCCAAACCCTGTCGGCTGCGGCGGGCGCCCAAAGACATTTTTTCTGAAGCGTTAAAGCGCCTTTCGGCTGCATGTGACGCCGTTGGATCGGACGCTGGACAGCTGCGTGGAAATAATGCCGAACCACCACGACGCACGGCACCGCGCTCCTCTGGCAAAACAGCTCCTTCCTGCAGCCTCCGCGTCGAGCATCTTTAGGAAGAGGACGCCGTCAGGTCGGTCGATACGAGAGCCCGCGAGGAATGTGCGCAGTCCATTTTCTTACGTGCGCACCTCCCTCGCCCACCGACTGAGAGCTCGGGGCTGCTGTGGGGATGATGAAAACAAGCCACCGTGAGCAGAACACGCGAGAATATCGTACGACAGAGTCAGAGCCACAGCTGATTGGAGGGACCGCCCCACATCAGCTGTGCATCCACCCTGGAGATCGATACATTATAGGCTGTGATTTTATGGGTGTGATTTAGGCACCATGGACAGAGAGAGGCCCAGGCTGCTGGGTTCTTAACCTGCGCCCCGCGGACCTCAAGAGGGCCCTTTCAGGACATTTAATTCACAAGGGAAGTGGGTCGTCTGTACAGCGACCCTGAGAGCTCAACACACTGCAAATTATGGAATGCAAATAGACAAAACAATCTCAAACTGTCTGTAAGTGGTGCTAGAAACATACACTGTATGGTTAAAAATGGCGCCACCCAGTGGTTGTGGAGCTGGGTGCGCTCAGGTCGAGGCCATATTGACATTACTGACTCTGCTGGCTCCTGACACATCCAAACCCACCTCTCACTCAAAGTGGGCATTCCCAAACTATGCACAACTTAATATAATTTAAATGGGTAAAATTCTCCCCCTACAGTTTAGCTATAGAGACATTTCTAGTGTAATTGGGTATTTTAATATCGGGGCCTAATGGAGACTGACTCACTTCTGGAGCCAGCCTCAAGTGGCCGTTTGAGGAACTGCAGTTTATATAACTGTCCAGTTGGCTTCATTTGCCAACCATGGAGGTTGACGCTTCATGAAAACTGAGCTAAAATATATTATCTTTTGGTGGGACATCGGCATGTCCTCTGTGATACTTTCACATTTCTGTATTTGGTTGTGTTTTTTACTTAACCTATTAAATATGACAATTTTAATTGAGCCAGTTTAGCATTTAATAAATGAATCCAACTGGATGTTGACAGTTGCACAGGTTTGCCCTAAGAAAGAAATACTAAGCTTTTTTCTGTGTTGAAGAGTTACATTTCAAGCTGATGTTCAATGTAGATCCATATACTTTAAAAGTACTGCAGTGTCAAACTCTGCACACACTCATTCTGCTGAAGCTCAAACATCCAAATGGAGGAACAAAAACATTTTGAGTGGAGGAGAACTTTAAGATCTGAATGGAGTTTCTAGCTGAACGCATAAAAGAGTAGATGAGACTTGAACAATCCTAAAAAGTGTGTTTATATTTAAAAAGTGTGTTTGTATTTAAAAAGTGTGTTTATGTGTAAAAAGTGTGTTTATATTCAAAAAGTGTGTTTATATTTAAAAAGTGTGTTTGTATTTAAAAAGTGTGTTTATGTGTAAAAAGTGTGTTTATATTTAAAAAGTGTGTTTATGTGTAAAAAGTGTGTTTATGTGTGTGTCAAACTGCACTAATTAGCTCATCTCAATCAGCTGTTGTTCTCAGTGGCCATTAATGGTTGCCGTGGTGATGATATCTGCTGTGTCCTCCAGCACATATTATACCTTAAAATGTTGCCACAGGCTTGGATTAAAACACAAGGTTGTGAACTCAAATCCTGCTAAAGACATGGTCACCAAATTCCACATATATGGATGGGAATGCTGAATGAGTTTGTAGCATTTGACACCATTTTAAACTAACAGGTGGCACTGAAAGCATCTGGCAGCATCTGGCAGCAGATTCTTCAGGAAATACCCATTCTGCCCATTTTTGCTTGAGCACTCTTATGAAACTTCTTATACCTCAGAGACTATACCTCCTAAATCTAGGTATTGTGAGAGACAAGAGTCTGCTTAATGCATTGATGTAGTTTATATGTCTGCAAGGTCAAAAATGTGAGAATTAGAGCAGGTTACAAAAGTCCCTCCTGAAGTTTCTTCTTTCAGTTTACATTGTGTGTGTTCTACAGTTGTTTGGCAATCATGTAACTTGGAGGCTCACAACGTGAAATGTGTAAATCTGTTTGTTTCCATATGACATTGTGTCAAATAACACAATTTTTACTACATTTGAAGTAAAAAAAATATGTATAAAGAGTAAAAATTTGGGGAATGAGAGCAAGTTGAAGAAATATTTTTAGGAGAAGTTTACAGTTTTTTTTCCACTGTGACTCCGAATCATATTTTATCCTTTTATTTTTTGTTTTTTTTGTTTGTATGAACATAGAACAGATGATGTCTGGGACATTGCAGAACAATCAATGAAATGACGAAGAAAAAATGCACAGGTACAGTTCATAATGCATATTAAAGACAGAAAAAACAAGTCTAGATGATAATAACAATCCCATTTTCTCAGTTTTTATCTGCCTTCTACTTTTGTAGTCGGAGAGCGAAAGTCATTTTCTCCACTCAGTGAGTAGACCTGATTATGTTAATAAGAAGGGAACCAGGAGGGTTCTCTATGAGCAGTAACTGTTTTGTATTTATTAGCTGCCAGGTTGAATATTTAGATGTTTGAATGATATTCCTACGTGTAGAAGAACTTGTGTAATATTTCACCAATTACCAGAACAAAAAAAGTCCACATAAATAAACAAATAGGGAAATAAAACTGGTATTATTTGTTGGTTGTGATAAAGAAACAGGTATTTACTAATTCTCCAATAACGAAGCTATTAAAAAAAAGATGAGGAACAATGCAGTCAACCACCACATTTATTGTGTATGACGAGGAATATATGGCAGCGTGACCATACGAGCTCACGACTGCTGCCCCTCTCTGAGGAACAGGAGTGCAGTACAGTAGCTTGTTCTTGGCATGACACTGATTAAGACGGCTGCTACGTTATATCACAATTCCTAAAAGCACACAGCAACATAATGAACAAATCTGGTCTCATACGTGTATATTTCCAATAACATTACAGCCTCAGAGAACACGTTCACAGATATAAACTTGCTTGTCAGAAAGAAGCTCAAGTGTCACTAGTTGTCAACACTATAACCACAAAGTTAAGCTGCCCTAAAATAAAAATTACAAATTGGAAGAAAATGCAAATATACATTCACAATAAAAATTCAAAACTGGAGTTACACTTGTTTTTAAACTGGGAATCAGCCACAACAACAATAATTCAAACTTTACTGCCTTCAAACAGGGCAGTTTCTTTAGTGCAGTGATGTCTTGATTTTAATGTGGACAAAGAGATGTGGACTGTCTGTGTCACTGAGCTGCATTTAAGTGCTAACAGCAGATTCTAAATTTACTGATTGCGTCTGATGTTTCCTTCCAACTCCACAGGATGTTCACTGAATATGTGGCTGTGTTTGTAATATGGTTGGACAGCCTGGTTTTAGGGCTTGAACACTGAACACTTTTAAGCTGACTATGAGCTTGTAGACACCGGGTTATGAAAATTTAAGCTGAGGAAACATAGAAAGAAAGGCCACACAACAACATGACTTACACAATTAAATCAACTATAATCAACTGTTTTCCAAACAGGGAAATTCATTGAACATCGTGTTCATTTTATCTTTAATCCACAACTTTGTTTTAGCACAAATAAATTACAAATATACACAATTTTACCCCGCAAACAATGAATTTACACACACAAAAAAGCAACAACATAAAACATAAATGGCATCAAACATTTCCATATCATACAATGACTGTTACAGTATGATGTGAGGGGGGAATTAGGCAGCCTCGTAGCAGCCGTGTGTATAAATGTGTGTTTGCAGTATTCACAGATCTCAGACCAACACTGACCTCAGGAGTTTCTCTGCATACGTCCGTGCTTACTGCCGACTTCACATTGAAGGCGAGGGGCACAAAGATGGACAAAGACGTAACAAAATAAAGACATCTCTGGTGTTCTTGTGTGTGTTGTTGTGATCACTGAGATAATGTTGAAGAGAGTGCTGTCCTCCGAAGGCCAAATGAAGAACAACAACTCCTGCCTGTCTGAGAGCTCCTACCGCAGACTAAACACCATAATAGACCACTAAAGGAATACATACAAACCATGAAAACATTGCTGCAGCACCATCTACTGTTGTTTTTGCTTGTTTTCTTGTCATTTTGCAGGTTTCAAGTATACAGCAGCCAACCGAGCTGTCTGACAACCTCCGTTACTGACTGCTGCTGGACACTGATGTCATTGGCGATGGCTGATGGGTGGTCGGGGGGCAACCCTCGTCTCTCTTTAGCCATAATCAATCGGTGAGCCCTTGGAGTCAGAATATTCTCAATTTATTTTGTTCCTTTGAGATTTACTATCACAGTGACCTGGTGGGGGGACAGTAGGGTTTTAAGGATTGGGGTTAAACTGTATAATCTTAATAAATGTAAGGCCTGCTAGGACTGTTTCATCAAAAGAAATTGGATCTGTTTTATCTAAATGCAACTTTAAAGTATTTATTTATCACCCTCTTACCCTCTATTCTCTCCCTCAGTCAAGATTAGTATTTTCTGGATATCCTTCCTCTACAGACATATATAATCTGTAAATATATTTATTTTCTTCCCTAATAACAAAGAACCTGCCGAACACTGACAGCAAAGCTTGTGTTAGGAAGAGGTAAAGAACTGTTACGAGCTTTCTGAGGTAGCAGGCGGTTTTTAGTTGAGGAGATTTGGTGGAAAGAAAAAAAAAAGAAGATATATTCACCTCTGCAATGCTCGCGTTAAACAACAAGAGGGTTTGGATTCCACAGATATTTTTACTCAGTGGTAAATAAACATTATTTCAAATAACCCACAACAGTATAATATGTGTATAAAATGTATAAACAGAAAGGTTATTCTTGTGATATATCTAAAGATATTTTGTACTTGATTCCTATGTTTTCGATGTAAATATACTGTACATGAGCGTTGGCGGGTGCATCTTCACTTGACATAGGCTACATTTCACAAAAGATTTAGGTGAAACACCCTGGCAATAGGGAGTTTGGTGTCGTTTTACAAGGCCTTAAATTGTTCATATGAAGAATCCTCCATCTGCCATTAGTGAGGCACTAATGGCACTTAAAGATGACTGGAACACAGCCTGAAGTTAAAACTACAACTAAAGGTAGCTTTTAGCATAACGGCTGTGAGTGATCTATGTTTGACGTGAGGCCATTTGATGACACCTTGTATGCACATATATACAGTATGAGTATGTATAACCACACACATGAAAAACGGTACCAAATCTCAGCCACAGGGTGTTAACGTACAGTAACCAGTGTGCTTGTGAATCCAATCCCTCGGGTCCCTTCCTCCTCTCCTCTCTACATCTCTTTCTCTTTCTTGGTCTTGCTGCTCTTCAAAAAGTCGCTCCTGAGTAGCCGATAAAACAGGACGATGTTCATGGCCGTCATGATGGCCAGACCCACGCTGCCCAGTGTGTAGGCCAGGAGGGGCACATTGTCCCTGTTGAGCACCAGCCAGCGGGTCATCCAGGCCAGCGTGTTGATGCGGAACACCACGTATGTGCCGAGGTTGATCATGCTGTTGACCCGGTATAGCGTGCCTTTGGCAATGTTGGCCATACGCAGCATTTGCCTGAGATGGAGGAACACGGAGTTAATCTCCACCAACAGGGCCACCACGGCGAAGCCCACGTAGCGGCAAGACAGCACAGACAGGCCGAAACAGGTGATCACCTACAGAGGAGGACAGGGAGAGGAGACAAAGAGGAGGAATGTTACAGTGGATGTGGCGTTTTCAACATGTGTGCAGCACGATTAATGATGACTGATCTTAGTTCCCAGAGATAGTGGAGTAGTTATGCTATTACAGATACCACAATAAAATGCAGGGATGCATCAATGTGTTGTTTTGAAACTGACCAATATGAATCTTCCAACGGTTTTAAGACATGCCTATCTTCTGGTTTTATTAAATATTATGGTAGTTGCTACTTTGACAAAAGACAAATGACAAATGAGAGCAATATCAGCTGACACAACAGTATGTCAACATAGTTGTGAATCCAATGAATTAATGTCTTTAAATCAAGGAGACTGATTAAATTTGAGTTAAAGTTGTCAAACAAACTCTCAAATTATTAATACGCTTTAGATTATATTGCCCCTGTTATTGACAGTATTTTACTCAATGTGGAAGGACACCACTCCCATGACTCATTCTGCTGAGCAGTGCTTATGAAAGTCTTATGAAAGTAACAGAAAACCTCCACAAGATGGCAGCAACCTCACTCAGAAGCACTCTGAGAAAACAGCAACTGGACAAATCCCATCTGCTGACTTTATACAGTGAGGGGGAAAGGTAGATACAGACAGTATCTGATACGTTGTGACAAAAGTGAAAGCTGCTATCTTACACATCCACAGCAGCTGTGTTGCAGGTGTATAAATTTGGGTGACAGAAACGTGTTTATACCAAAACAGGCTGTTCAGCCAACTCTCCACAGGAGCTGGCACCCACTCACACCACCACATTCACCCACTTCATTCACACTCAGAGCACACTCAAAGTGTAGCAGGAGGACTCACTGTTCAGACAGATTGTACTCGAGTTTCAGACATGTAACCACCAAAGGCTGCAGTGTTTATAAATCAAGAGTGGATGGTGGTAGTGGAGGGGAGCACTATAAGTAGAGAGCAGGCTAAAGTAGTTAGTTAGAACGGGTCATGGGATACACGGTGGTGTGAGAGATTGACCTTTACCATTGGTCATGGCTCAGAAGCATCTTGTGTCTTTGAATATGTGTGTTTTATATGAGGTCACAGGATGTCGTCTCTAAGGCAGCAAACAGTCATGTGACACGCTGTGGTAGGTTAGTCAGCAGTACACTAACTGGCCCTTACATTATGTATCCACTGTAATGGACTTAAAAAGGTTCAGAGTTCAAAAGGTTTTCTTTACTGGACACGTTTCACTTCCTGTAAAAACTATGTAAACAAGTTCACATAGTTGTAATTGCTTGTTAGTCTTGGCAGCATTTCTTATTAAGGGCACTATAAGGGGCACGGCTCACTGTAGCGAGGACTCAACACAGGATCCTGGTTCACAGCATATTACATGAAAGTCTGGCCATTCGTTTCAAGATAACCTGTCATGGCCTAAAGCACCGGTTCTCAAACTACTACTACTACTACTACTAAACTGGTGGTACACAAACTGCCTCTAGTGGTTTAATTCATTTAAAAACAAATAACACTATTAAAAATCCTACAAAAATGTGAACATAAATTATTTAACTACGAGATTGCTGACATGCAATTCAAAATAAGTTTTGCATTTACTTTTTTTCACGAGCGTAATGAACACATACATGAAGGATTAGTTACGAGCTAAAATGTGACGAAAAGATATTAAGTAGGAGTCAAATTAACGATCCAAAAACACTTCAATCGTGGCTCCAAACGGGAACTATTGGGAAGAGAAGTGAGGTCCAGGAGAACATCTTTTCGAACAAGATATCTCTCGTTCAGGATTGAACAACAGTCAACAATAAATATATTCTTATTGGAATAAACCTGCCTCCCGCATGAATGTGAAGAGGGTTGGCCTAAGCTACTGTATTTTAATGCCGTTCGTAACAGTTGTATTGGAGTGCTTTATATTTTCTAAGGTGGTACAGTTCAAGTGTGTTACATTAAAACACAAAAGTTTAAGAAACACTGGCCTAAAATGTTACTCAAGGCCTTTAATGTTTTTTTTTTTATAAATATCTTCATCCGAACCACCCTCACGCCCCCATTGCTAACTGGGAAAAAAATATATAGTTTACTGTAAATTCTTCAGCTGAACAATAAAATCAGTGATGCAAGCCTCTGACTCACTCTCTCACTCTCTCTCACACACACACACACACACACACACACACACACACACACACACACACGCCCCAACTAGTCACAGGTGAAATCAAAGTCTTCCCCTGTTTTCAGGTTATAATGACAGTGATGACGAACAACGTTGGTAGACTACAATGACGACAGTGAAAGCACCGCATTTAGCAACGCAAACAAAGTCAGCCTGCTGGGAGGGAAAACACTTATGTCAACAGGACACAGTAGAAAACAAAGCCACACAAACACTCACAGATAATATGTGAGATTACAGTGCAGTGCTGGCCGGTCGTTCTGCTGTCACATTCTACTGACAACAAGGTGTGTATCAGCATCTAGCTGCACTATCGTTGTGGTCAATATATTAATCCACTGCATTGGTAAACAACTATCACTGCAGCTCAATGGCTTTGGTTCAGGAAAACGGCTAAAATAAAGTAAATAAAGGCAACTATGACACAAAACCACAAACCACAGTGCAGATGTTGGACTATCAGGCAACTGCTTGATTTTACTCCAACTACGCTTACGCCTTTCTTCCACCTTAAAAGGACCAGTGTGTAGTACTGAGTGTGGTTAACTCAACACTGCTCACGTCTGTATTTGACGACCTGGGAATGAAAACAGGTGTAGGAGAAACTACGGTGGCTGGGAAACTCGCAAAAAACACAAAAGTCCTGTGGTGGACTCCACAGAGGGCGATGAAAATGGGTCACTGCGAGGTAATAAAAACACAACAATTCAAAGCAGAACCACTAACCACAGAAGCATGAGGATGGAGGATACATATTCTTCTAATTTGGGCATATAGACATATATCACACACCAGTCTACATTTACCAACTCACACACACAATATCGACAGATTCCTCACACATACAAACTAAAAAACAAACTCCTCTATGTTGGTTTAAGGCGGAGCAAAAGCCAAGACACCAACAACTCTTAGGATCTTTATCTGTTACCATGAACACTCAAAAACACACAAACTCACTCTGATTAACTGTTAAGCATCCATGTACACACTGACATAAAACACATGCCAAGGCCAGGCAGTGGTTGTTAGTGTGGCTTACCTAAAGTCTAATCTGATCCGGGAAGATAAAACACAATACAGCATGGGATTGGAAAGGTCAAAACGAACTCTTATACAACGCTGAGGTACCCAGACAAATTCAGTAACAAAGACTGCGTGTTAACTTGATTATGTGGTAAACTTGGAACCACATAAAAGCACCATTTCACTGAGGCATTATGGAGGTACTCCTTGAGGTTTCTTAATTTAATAAAAGGGTATTGGTTTGTTTCTCCTGCACGTGTATCTAGTTTTATGGTGTTAACCTCTTTGAACTGCCATATCAGCCAGTGACAGTTACCTAATCTTGCTATAAACACTGATAGCACCGCAGAGCCATAACAACGCTACATAACGTGCAATAAAGTCACCTTTTTTCAAAGCTACCAACAGTAAATGTACAACCATAGAGAAGTTAGGTGGACGAAAGAGCGGCAATGTGTGCATCCTCCCATTCTAGAGGAGGTGACTGTGACCACTTGACCTCACCATATCAGGTCATCATCGGGTGACAATGACCCCATAAGGCTCAGCAGCCAACCAGACAGCAGCAGCTAGCTAAAACTCTTCCTCTGCGAGCACAAATTGGGGCCTCTGTTAGTCATCTATTAAGGACAGGGGCCAACTTTTACACCCTGTACTGCTGTCAGCACCCTCAGCTGAGAGGGTATCACAGTAATCCCCCCCCAGCAGATCCCCGGATCTATTGGATGATTGGAATGATTCAGCATTAGCTGGATTCGCCTCGATAAGCTCTGCTGAAGCTCGGCTTTCACCCACAGCAGCCGACTTCTATCCAAAACTCTGGTGGACAGACATAAACACGTGTGCCATTGCTGCACATCACACATGGATGAGAGCAGGATTTCAACCCCAATGACAGTGGGGCTACTACTTCAGATACATTCAATCTGATCACAGTTAATTCCAGTACCAAAGTGCATTATTAGGTGTATTTATTCATTTAGTTTTAGTTTTGAAGTTGAAAATGGTATCTAAAGCCTCTACATTTGAGGAAGAGCATGTGATATAATTAAAGGCACCAGACCAGCTAACGTTGAACTTTCAATCAAATTTTTTCACAGTCATGGAAAACCTGGACATCTCGACAACTTCATCCACTGAGGAAATGTGTGGTACTTTTAGGTTTAAATGGGACTGAAGAAGAGAGAGTTCATTCACCTTTGAACTGCACTTATATACATTTACCTTGTGTTATAGCCACCTGTATAAAATCGAAGCAAAGGGCTGAAAAACAAGGTGTTGTGGGTGTTTGTTCCCTGCATTTTCTCCCTGTGGGCTCAATTAGACGCTCTGTGCACCCTGGTGAGGGACCTTCACGTCCCACTTTCAGGGGGGAAACACTGGGTGCAAAGACGGTAGGAGAGTACTGTAAACGGTGGTATGAATGTGGTGAAACCTGACTCTTTAAAAAAAAAAAAAAAAAGGATCTGGCATCGAGAAACGCAAACCCTGACTTGCAGCATCTAAGCACACCACGCGAGGTCAACCAAAAACTGGGGTAAAGTTGACGTGATAAGAAAGTTTGTATTAAGAAGGCATGTTGATAAATGTTTGAATGGAACCACTAGGGCAATGATTACTCAGAAGGCAATCTCACAGCAAGATAGAGCTAATAAAAAAGACATGTTTGGCCTTTAACATGATTAAAACGAGAGCATTTGAGAGGCAAAATGGCTGCTCATTATGGCAAAGTAACAGCAAAGGGTGAATATTTTCTGCTTTTATATCGTTGAAAAACCCACTCATA